TCCTAAATATTTTTTGTACTTCTGCAAAGTTCAGGGCTCCTCCTCACCACAAGCCTACCAACTCTTCACGGCTATTTGTGGGTGGTGCCACACTGAGAGACAGTGTGGTGTAGTGGTTAGAGTGTTGGCCTAGGACCTGGGAGACCAGGGTTCATAATCTCCACTTGGCTACTGAAGCTCATTGGGTGACATTGGGTAGTCACTGCCTAACAGCCTAATCATAATAATAATTTTATTATTTATACCCCACCCGTCTGGCTGGGTTTTCCCAGCCACTCTGTGTGCTTCCAGCATATATAAAAACATAATAGGATGTCAGACATTAAAAATTTCCCAATACAGGTGGCTGCCTTCAGATGCCTAACATTCCTCTTGAGCTCTTTGGAAGAAAAGGTGGACTATGAATACGATAAATAAAATATAAATAAATAGCTCCACATTCAATCTGCAGCATATTTTAAAGAATATTTATTCATTTGTTTGTTTATTGCACAATCCTTTCTGAAGTTCTCATTTGTGCACTGGCTAATAGGGTGGGGGGAACACACCCCGAAATCTGCATAATCGCTCTAGAGTTTTAGATGTTCTCCAGTGGAATGATACCTCATTAAGATTCTTGTTGGTGCCTTGTTGCATTTTTATTAAGGACTTTGATATTTCAGCACTTAAGCACTCTAATATTTTTATGGCTACTCCACAGGAAGTATTGATTTGCTGCTTGGTAACCTTGGCTGGCTTTGTGATGTGCCTGGGCAAGCAGATCAACAAATGGGGCAAAGGAATGAGTGCCTCTGCAGAATCATCAAATTGCAGAGTTGGAAGGGACCACGAGGGTCATCTAGTCCAACTCCCAGCAAGTGGGTGGTGTGCACGGGAGATAATGAACTTGAGCTTCTTACCGGGGGCAAGGGAATCTCCAGATCTACCATTTAAGGTTTGCCCACATGTCTGATTTCTAAAACAGAAATATGCTATGGTTACACGAGTCCTAATTCTCCAAGTGCATAAATTTCAGGTGGGCAGTGGTCGCCTGGCTTGGTTTCCTATGGAATGAGGTTACTGGAGCCTTCTGACATTTTACAAAAGTTGTATTTATTTACAAACAGTCACATGAACATCAAAAGCCGCCTCAAACTGAGTCTGACTCTTTGATCCGTCAAGCTCAGTATTGTCTACATTAACTGGGGACATTCCCATTCCTGCCTGGAGATGCCTGGAAGTGAACCTTATTCCTGCCCTTGAGCCACAACCCCTTTTTAGTGGCAGACCTTGGAGTCTCAAATTTCAGTGGTCCCCTTGCAACACATACGTTTGGTACCACTCCACCTCTTGTGATCCATTCTAAATCACAGTTGCAAAGCCCCAAGTGGCACCACCAAGGCTTCGCACCCAGTGCAACAGAACTGGCTGTGCTTCCCTAAATGTGTCTCTGACAGCAGGCAGCCCCAAACTCTTACCAACTCCAGCTATGCTTTCTGATCCTCAGCCTGCACCACTCTCAAACTACAGGCTGCTTGTGTTTTTCCCAAGGACATGCTGGACACATTTGTCTGCTGGGAGGATGGCAAAGCCTTGGTTCCCAAAGAGTTCCCTCCATCCAGAACAGGAGCGGAGAACCTCAGGCCAGACACAGCCCCCCAGGCCTCCCTCTCTCTGGCCCTCAGAACTCTTCCCAGGCCACAGCCCCTTTCCTCAGAACCACACCACTCACTGGCCCTCCTTCTCCCCCAGCTGTTTCTCCCTGGTGGTTGGAAAGTGTCCACTAGGGATGCATCTCACTTGTCTGGACAGGGCATAGTCAGACCCTCCAACATTTCTCCAATCAAAATAAGGTAAAGGTAAAGGGACCCCCGACCATTAGGTCCAGTCGTGGCCAACTCTGGGGTTGTGGCGCTCATCTCGCTTTAGTGGCCGAGGGAGCCGGCGTACAGCTTCCGGGTCATGTGGCCAGCATGACTAAGCCGCTTCTGGCGAACCAGAGCAGCGCACGGAAACGCCGTTTACCTTCCCGCTGGAGCGGTACCTATTTATCTACTTGCACTTTGACGTGCTTTCGAACTGCTAGGTTGGCAGGAGCTGGGACCGAGCAACGGGAGCTCACCCCGTCGCGGGGATTCAAACCGCCGACCTTCTGATCGGCAAGTCCTAGGCTCTGTGGTTTAACCCACAGTGCCACCCATATCCCTCAATCAAAATAGGGACATCCAAAAGAAAAGTGGGACATTTTAGGATCAAATCAGAACCCAGGATGGCTTCTGTAAATCAGGGACTGTCCCTAGAAAATAGGGACACTTGGAGGGTCTGGATAGACAGGGCTTTGTGAGTGTGGGTGAAAACTAGCCTAATGTACAAAGGTCAAATTTACATTCATTAATCATTTGCCTCAGTCACTGCTATCTAATGGTTTGTGGTCTCCAAAAGGTTGCCCAGAATGGAGTCAGGTAGAGAGGCCCAGAGTTTCACTATTCCTGGTGTAGTGGATCATGAAGTCAGAAGACCCTTCACTCTGCCATTTCTTGAAACCCCATTTGCTTTCCAACACAGAACCAGGTTGCAGCTCCTCTGTTCCCTTCTCTTCAGCTCAAAATCAGATCTGGGTGTGAGCATTCACTGTATGTAGGCTGAGAATTCAGAGAAAGCACCACCTTATTTACTCATTCTTCCTCATCACAGGGGTGGATTTAGGCCTGTGCAAGAGATGTGCAGGAACTGGGCGCTGAGCTGAGGGGGCACCTTCTCAAAGCCCGGTAAACAAGGTGCTAAAAGCAGGTAAACTCAAGTTCCAGAGGGCACAAAACACTACAACTTGATTTTTGTGGGCGTCATTGTGTTTAAACACAAACTACAGTGTTGTGTTTAAAAGTCTGGTTTTGTACATTTTTCAGATGAAGCCAAATTTCTTCCCCCATGAATTTAGATGCAGGGTGCCAATTAACAGTTCACCTCAGGTGCCAAAATGTCTTGGGCTGGCCATGTTCCAAAGTGTTACTAATTGCAATTATGAAGGCAAAGTATTGCAACCATGGCTAGTAGCCATTGTTTGCGTTCTCCTTCATTGTCTGATCCTCCTTTAAAACCATCCAAGTTGTTAATATACGTACTGTGGTGTCCAGACCGGACTAGGATCCAGGTGTCCAGGGTTCAAGGCCCCCCTGGCTATGAAGCTCCCTGGGTGACATTGGACCAGGTTTTGGGCTCTCAGCCTAGCCTACCTCACAGGGTTATTGTGAGGATAATTTGGAGAAACGAATTGCATCTTGTATACCACTTTGAGTTTCTCAGAGAAAAGATGGAGTTTTCATGTAATAAAGCACCAAAAGAGGCCTCTAGGTGCACAAACATGTTTTAAAAAGATGCCTAGAGGTGGCAAATGTGGGTGAGCACACAGACAAAGAGAGAAGGTGGTTCCATAATACAATGAAACCCCCACAAAAAAAATAAATTAAGAAGATTCAGCCCACTGGAACTTAAAATACACCGTGACCAAATGATGGACCACTAGCTAGCCAACATCTGGGCAAACAGGTGAGTTTTAAGGAGGTTCCAGAAACTGGACCACAGTCCTGGCCTGCCTTATTTTATCAATTATCCAGAGGGATGCAAAGCTGGGAGGATTTGGGGAAACCCTTAAGTAGAGCCTAGATCCAGCTGCCTGAGCCCTCTGCTTGGGGGTAAATGCAGGGCTGGGCCAGACGCTTGGCAGCTTCCTGAAGTTGCCCAGTGGTGCCATGGGCCTGGCAGAGAGAGTGTTCCTGGAGCCCGGAGCCCATTGGCTCCAGTCCTTGGCCAGGCTCTGACCTCACAACCAGCTGTGGAATCCTGGGGAATGTTTTGTTTCCTAGGAGGCCAGGTGAGTTCTAGGAGGCCTGGGTCAGTTGAAAGCCAGTTGGATCAGTTAGCAGCCCATAAAGGAGCGATCCTTCTTTTGTGGTCTTGAAAGCCTTTTGTGGTCTTTCTGGCTCTGAATATCTTTTTCATAATGTGCCGCTGGTGGTGTAGAAGGTACAGTCATGGGAAAGGGGGGAGGCATCCTGAAGATTTGTGCCCCCACCACATGCCTAGTTTTTAAAGATGCTCCTTGGTTATTTGACCTTTCTAACTCCCATGCTGTGTTACATGAGCCAGCAATTTTCCCAGGGAGTTTTCTGATGAATTTTCTGAGTTTCCTTTATTTGTCACCATCCAAATTGCAATAGAATTGCAACAGTTGGAGTCCCGTAGCAACATCTGGAGGGAACCAGGTTTGGGGAGGCTTGATGTAGAAAACATCAGGGTAATTTAGCATCGTAACACTGGGTGACTGGCCAGGGGTTTATCCTGGCTCTGATCAGGAGTAGCCAGAATCAGCCACTCGCTGTCCAATGTGGAAAGTGGAGCAGACTTCCGGGGTGGCGCCACCGGCAATGGCAGACTCCCTCTGAACTGGAGGGACTGGCTCCGCGGTAAACAGGGTCTACTCCGCTACGGCGAAGCGGGGACCCCTTCAAAATCACAGGCAGATGAAGCCTGTGACCGTGGGACTCGGCGGGCACCTTTAGCGCCACCCCCAATCCGCTAAGGAACCCACTAACGGGCTCCGAAGTGAGGAGGGGGAAGCGGCGTGGTGCTGTGAGTCAATCGCTATTTCCGTGGAGCAAAGCCGCATAGCTGCTGCCGGAGAGCGCTGCCTTCTTAACTGGGACAATTTGGACTTTAAAACAAACCCCCGTGAGTACTTAGAATTTGAACAAATGGGAAAAGGACAGAATTGGACTATATATAAAAAAAAATCTATTGAATTTGGTACGGAGCGGGAAGGGCTAAACAGGAAGTCACCCTTCCGTTCTTTTGTAAACAGAACAAAGCAAAGGCAATTCACACTAGAGCTCAGAAAATCGTTTTTAAAAGAATGATTTCAACATTTTAAATTGGGAATATTTTTTTCTGGACTATTTGAAGTAACTGCAAAAGGAAGTTATTTTCCTCCGTCCTGATCCTGGAGCTGGAGGAAGTCTTTCCTTATGAGGGCAGCCTGTGGAAAGAGACGGCCGGCCGCAACATCGCCGGTTCTCTTCCCTCACAGGAGGTCCTCCGGCAAGAAGCCATTCATGGTGAGGAGGGTCTTTCTGTGGCTCTTACCTCAGGTCTCCCTCAGAAATATTAGGCAAGGGAGTCCAGGGGGATCTTCACTTTCATAAAGCATGGGGAGGGAGAACATGCCTGGGAGATTGGCTGGGAACTGGGTCCTTCTCCCTCCCAAGGGTAGCCTGGAACTTTTGAGTTCTCAAAAATGGCCAGGAGATCATTTTTCTCCAGACAAGTCCCAGAATGGCAGTGGTGGACTTTGGGCTCTCCAATTCCAGTGCCACCCTGTGCAACTCCCCCCCTACCCCAAGGCCCACTGCCACATCTTGCGCTCAGTTCCAAAGCACTGTTTTGGCACTCCCTGCAGTGCGGCACCCAGTGCAGCCACACTAGTCACGCCTCCCTAAAACCGCCAGAGCCATGGGGTGCTTCCTGGTGTCCAGGCTGGCAAATGGCCATAGCTCAGCGGTGGAGCCCTTGCCTTGCCTGCATGAGCCCCAAGTGCAGTGGCATCTCCAGGAAGGCCTGGGAAGGAGGGACCCCTGCCTGAAGCGCTGGACAGCCACCTGCCGGTCAGCATGGAGGTCACTTTGGGCCAGGAGGACTTTGGGCCAGGAGGCTCCCTGCGTATTGTGGCTGTGCTGTTCTACCAGCAGCTATATAAAGAAAAACTCCTTTCTCAGGAGGATCTGACCCTCGTCTTCCCCGACCTAAGAGAACTGCTGAAGATCCATGGTAAGTCTGCTTCCCCTCCAGACCGGTCCCCATTCTGTGGCTGGCCCAGGCCTCCGCTTCTTCCTGGGTGGGTCAGGGGCAGAGGGAGAAGGGACAAAAAGAAAAGCACAGCACCCAAAGAGCTCTGTAGCAGGATCAGGCCCAAGGGGCCCAGCCAGACCTGCAGCCAGTTTTCAGGGGGCCCCACAAGCCGCAGGGCAGGAGCACAAGTGCAATGCCCCCCTCCCAGGAACGGGGATTCTTTAGAGGCATCCACTGCCTTGGGTAGGGGAGGATGGAGGGGGCAGCCAGTTGCTGCCTCTAAGCCTAACCTACCTCGCAGGGTTGTTGTGATGATTACCGTATTTTTCGCCCCATAGGGCGCACCGCCCCATAGGGCGCACCTAGGTTTTTTTGGGGGGGAATAAAGAAAAAAAATTATTCCCCCCCCCCAGGCGAGCTTCCCCCTGGAGAAATCTGCTGAAGTCTGATGGAGGACTGGCTTCCACCAAAGATGCCAGTGTGACCCAGAGCGGTACGTCTGTGATTTCCAGTGGGGTTTGGGGGCAATGTTGCTGCCTCCTTGCCTGGGGAAGGGGGCCCAGTTGACGGGAGGGGTTGGTGGGTGGTGGATGTCCTCCCTGAGGTTTCCCTGCCTGGGTATTTGGGGCTGGAGAACAGGGCATCAGTTGGGATGGTTTGGCCCACAGAGGACAGTTGGCTTGTGCCATCTCAGCCACCCAGGGAGCTCATGGGCACTAAAGGAGGCAAGACTAGGAAGCGTCCTGGGCAGCAGCTGCCTGTTTGCAAAGAGCCTGGTGGCATCTCAAAGGCTGACCCTTTTAACATGGAGGTTCCCTGTCTCTCAGCAGAGGTGCAGCAGCCAGACAAGCAAACCATCAAGGACCTCATGTACCGGATCTCAAAGAACCTCGAGAGGCTGAAGGTGAGGAGCCTGGGTGCGAGAGGGTGTCCTAGCAGGCCAGAGAAATAAGGGTGGGGGCAGCCCCTTGGTATGCCAGACCTATTTCCTCCTCTGAACACTTTCCAACATCTGCACATGGCTATGAGAGGCAGGGCAATGAGTTGAATCTTGTGTCTAACTGGAAAAAGAAAGATTGTTGCTGTTGCTTTTATTCCTTTAAAAAAAAAAAAATCCATCTAGTGGAATTTAGTGAAATTGCAACGCAGAGAGATTAAAAGAGAAGGACTATTGGACTATTCTCGTGGGAAAGAATTTTCTTTGACCTTGAAGGACAATGCTAGTACAAAGGCTTGAACAATTGTTCCTGGAAGGTTTTTCAAAACTAAGTGCCCAGCTGGACCAGATGCGTCAGGAGACGACCTTGATGATGGAAGTTACCAGAGCACAGCAGCAAACAAATGAAATTCAGTTAAAGGCTATACAAGCATATGAACCTGCTGTAGTGACGGAGGCTTCAGAGATGGAGGGACCTTTGGACGGGCAAGATCAGCCTTTGAACTTGATAAATGAACTTGGGACAAACCAGATTCGGAAAGATGAAATGTGGTCAGATTTGGAAATGGGGATGGATCGACCCCCTCCATATGGTTATTTGGACCTTCCGAGTCTGGTGATGGGCTATCAAATCCAGAGCCTGAGAGGATGCATTGGGGGAGCTTTTTATGTGTGTGTGTTGGAGGGGGAGGATCAAAGCCAAAAGGATGAGTGACAGTAGGCATGGAGGGGCAGGGTCTCCAGCCTTGCCAATCCCTTAGCCCCTCTTTGTTCACACAGACTGAGAAAACTAAAGAGGTTTTCACTTTGAGCTCCATTGCCACACCCCTCAAACACCCTTGTCATGCACCCCACTATTTCTCAGTGCTCACCTGCATTGCAGGACCACCCCCTGTGCTCACCTGGAGTCACGGGCAAGGGAGAGAGGGCTAGTCCAAACCTGAGGGGGCCACGTATGCCTCTGGAGCAAGAAGCAGCTGAAAGACCCAGTGGTGGAGGAGAGAACCAGAGGAGGGGTCTTTGAGAGACCCCACAATCCCCCTATATTGACACCACACTCCACTTGAGGGTCTTTGCCTGGTTTGACCCCATAGCTGGGATAAGAGGCTATCTGGGGAGGAGGGGTTGGGTGACTTTTGGCCTGACAGGACTGTAGCCAACAGGGCAAAGGTGGGAGCCGCATCCATGTGAAATATACTCAGAGTCGCAAAGTGATTTCATGCTCTTTATTCAGCTCATAGTGGTGAGGAGGAATGAATGAATGTCCCCTCACAGTATCTGCTTTATATACATTATTTACACAATGGGCTGCACATGATTGGCTAATTCTGGAATTCTACTGTAAGCCAATCAGGTTGTGGATTCACTTCTATCTGGAGCAGGATTGGGTGGTTCCTGCCAACCAATCATACTGCTGCATTGTTCTAGGACCAATCAGACTGCTGCATTCTGAATCCTATTGTTCTAGGACCAATCAGATTGCTGCAGTTTGGATCCTATTCAACTCAGTACATAACACCATGGCTGCCTCATCTTTGGGCCCTGGCCCCTTCCACAGTCAGCAAGTGCTCCCTAGGAAGTTTCCCATGGGGCCATGGGGCCCTCATGCTGGAAGAGAGCCCGTTCTGGGAAGCTCCACAGCAGTAGCATAGGAAGAGGGCGGGGAGGCACCCTGGGCAGCACTGGGGCTGCAGGGCACCCTCCAGGAGTCGGACCCAGAACTGCCTGAAAACGCAGGACAGGGTGCACCGCGAGATGCAGGTGGTGCACAGCCTGGGCAGGCAGCATCCACCCACCGCTTCCCTCCCAGCCTCAGTTGCCACCCAGCGGGCCCAGCGGTGCCTGAAGAAGCAGTTCTGGATGCAACTGGCATGCGCCACCCAGCAGGGTGCCCCAGCCACTGCATCCCTCCCAGCCGCGAGTGGGCCCAGCGCTGCTGGGAAAAGTATCACAGGGCACACCACCAGGAGGGCACCCGGAAGGGACATCCAGCAGGGATGTGACTGGCATGCATGGGCCTGCATGTTTCCCTCCCCAGTCCTGAGCGCCTTCCCAGTGGCACACCCCACAATGCTTTTTCCAGCAGCTCTGGGCTGGCATACACCAGTTGCGTCCCTCCCAGGAGGGAGGCATTCACTTGTGCGGTGTGCCCCACCCACTTGGGATGCTCCACCCCCATGGGGTGTGTGCACGCATGTGCACTCCCCACCCGCCCTTGGCACCAGCAGGGGTTGCTATGCCAGTGCTCCTCCGCTGGGTGATGTGAACGGACACCCCCCCTTGCGGCGGCTGCCCTCCTTCTCAGAGGCCCCTAACCCCTCCCCTCTGAGCTCCCCTTTTTACAGGAGATATTGAGATCAGCAACTGATGAATATTCTTCCAAGTCTGACGTGGCTCTTCGGCAAAGCTCAAGCGCTCTGGTCTGAAGATGTGGCATTCAGAAGTTGACTATGATAGTTTGTTTCCAGCCCCTTTAATCCCCATTTGCCTGGAGTTCAAGTAGGCATCTAAATACGCAACCGCCAGTGGAATATGAGAGCCTGCTGGTTCTGGCTGCTGGGAATATAGATGACCTTGAAATCGAAGAACTGGGACCATCGGATCTGGCGCTGATTCAGCTTCTTGGCTGACTGGAGATGTTCTAGGTTCCGACGGTCTGTCCGAACTTCAACTGGATAACTGGCCCCCTCTAACAAATGATGCCACATCTCAAAGGCCACTTCAACAGCCAATAGTTCCTTGTCTCAAATGCCATAATTCCGCTCTGCCGGTTGAAGTTTTCGGGAGTAGTACCCACAGGGGTAGAACGTTGAAGGCTGTGGGTCGGCCTGCAGTAGCAGTGCCCCTACCGCAGCATCCAAGGCATCACTTTCCACCACAAACAGCAGTGCCAGTCTGGCTGCCGAAGGATGGGCTGAGAAGCAAACACAGCCTTCAAGGCGTCTAATGCCTTCTGAGCTGCACCGTCCCAGACAAACACAGCCTTTTTCCAAAGGAGGGTGGTAGAGGTACTGTCACCTGAGCGAAGTGCAGGGTGAACGAAGAATAGTAGTTCGCATATCCCAGCAGGCGCTGCACCTCCTTGGGGTTATGGGGAGGCTGCCAGGACAAAATAGTCTCCACCTTGCCAGGGTCCATGGCAATGCCATCGGCCGAAATGCCCAGGAAGTCGACGGTGGGCTTGTCAAACTTGCACTCAGAGAGCTTGGTGAACAGGCAGTGCTCTTGTAATCTCTGCAGCACGGTGCGTACATGCTGCTCACAGTCAGTGGCCGAAGAGGTTTTGCAGGTCCGCTGTGCACTCTGTGTGGGCTAGTTCGTTTAGAACCGGGTCTGAAAGCCCTTCTTGAAACTGGTCCACTAGAGCTGCCTGATTCCAGGCCAATTCCTGTGCCAGCAGCTGAAATTCACTGGCATACTTCCCCACCAACTGATTCCCCTGTTTCAGCTCCCTGATCAGGCGGTTGGCAGTCTGGGTCCTCACGGGCTCCATGTACATGACTTGGAGCTGTTGGCTGAAGGTGTCAAAATCAGCTAGCAGTGGACTCTCTTGTTACAGCAAGACCCCATCTTTGACGGTCATGTGGCTGCCATACGTCCCCGGCCTCCACAGTAGAGACACAAGTCCTATATGTTCGCATAGTCCTATATTTATGGGTAGATAACCTTCTTTAGGTATTTTGTTATAAAAACATTTTATTTGAACATTTATAGTGTTTTTATTCATAAAAGAGAGTTTATAGGCCTTAATTAATAACATTATTATATGGGGGTGGGTTTATTTTTTGTTCTTGCTGTTCTCATGTATTTTGTGCTTTTATGTTGCATTTTTATGTCATCAACGCCCTGTGATCTGTGGATTAAGGGCAGTATATACCTTTAATAAATACATTTAATAATAACAACTTCCACAAGGTGTGTGTCTCTGCTTTGCCCCCTGCTGTTTGATGGCTGAGGTGTGGACAAGCCCTTTTGCAGAGCCCAGCCTGCTACTTACACTGTTTTTCCTATAGAGGCTGCTGTTTCCTAAGGGGATTTAAAATTCAAAGGGCAACTGCCATTTTTCTGTAGCGCTTTCTTTCGGGGTATGGGGCTGTGTTTGTACTTCTATATACTTGTAAGTATGCACTTATCCCCCTGCATTATATTCATGACAAGAGGATGACACAGCCCTCCACAAAGGGTTAATGCATGCCTGTCTTTAATCCTTCTATGGCTTGGATTGCTGTAAACAGCTTCCAAGAATGAATGTGTGTGAGAGAGACAAAGCAGTACAGAAATAATTTCATGAATGAATGGAGTGGCTCTCTCTTTTTCTCTCCCTTTCACCCCAGAGTGTGCCTGGAAGACCCTGAGGCCAGGCAGCTCCTTCCGACTCCCTCCCCTTCCCAGGTCCCCCCGCCATGAGAGAAGGGGGCAGCTTCCCCCAGGAGCACCCCCCCAACAGAAGGAGCAGCACTCGTGTCACCCCAAATAGAAAGAGCAGCCTCCAAACCCTCCTCACACCAAGAGAAGGAGCAGCCTGCTTCCCAATTCCTCCAACCCAAGATAGGGGGCAGCCCCCACCCTCCCAAACCCCCCTTGTCCCAAGAGTGGCGCAGCAGCAGCCCAGCAGGTCTGTGAGCACTTAGAAAAGGATGCTGTGATTCCTAAGACCCAGAATGGGTTTCTCAAAGGCAAGTCATGCCAGACAAATCTCATTTCTTTTGTTGTACAAGCTTGGTGGATCAGGGGAATGCTGTGGACATAGTATATCTTGATTTCAGGGCCTTGAGCATGGATTATTCCTTCACATTAAGTTCAGACAGATGAAGTTTTCCTCACCATTTATAGACATGATGGAAAAAGCTTCATTAGTTCCAAATTTTCATACACCAAAAGCAGGGCTTCTAGAAAAAAGAGCCCGCCCGCCCCCCCAACTCACATTCTCTTGTTGACACAAAAGAATTGCAATCTCTCCAGGACATTTAATCCATTTTACTTTTGGAAGCACAACATTTTTAAAATAAAATTGTGCTTGGACTCGTCACATCGCCTTCTCTACAAAAAGCAGCCACAAGAGCCCCAACCCAAATCAGGGCTGAGGTGCAGCAGGAGATGGATTGAACTCTTTCTGCTCTGTCCTGCTCTCCCAATTTAGATCATAGCTGCCTTTTGGTAAATGGGAATATGTGGCCAGTTTGTGTTTCTGAATCATGTGCTTAAAGTCACATCTCATTTGACACATGTGCATCCTCAAACAGATGTATCGTGCTGAAGACCATAATTATAACCTTTTAACAGGTTATAACCAGCCTCGGGAAGAACGCTTTCCTGACCATGGCTGACAAGTCCCCCTGCAACGCAGGAATCCTTTTGCCTCTCTGAAATGTAGCCTAGTGTACAAAGGTAAGAGACACACGCATTGCTCTACCCACTTCTGCCTCTGGCCCCATGCACCACTGGGATGCGGCCCCTGAAAGGTTCCCCTTGCGGCCCTCAAGATGAACAAGGTTCTCTACCCCTAAATTATACATGATCCCACAACATCCATAATTGGGGACATTTTGAGGGGAGGGGAGTCATGTTGGTGGGAATATGCAAAAGGTTTTGGAAATGAATTCAAGTTAGCAAAGCTTGCCCAAGAGCTTTTCTTTCCCTGTCTGAATTTCCCTCAGTTCCAGTTGGAATTCTCTTATCCAACTGATGGACTGATTCTGCCACCTGCCTGTCAGCAGGCCCTGCTTGCTGTGCAGGAGAGGCCCAGACAGAGCCTGGATGCTCTTGCACAAATGGCCTCATTTAGATTTGCAATGGTGTGTTGGGATACTGCCAGGGAGATAAAGTCCATCATGGTCCCCAAGCCGTCTGCCGGACGATCCATCGATCTGCCGTAGGCACGCAGTATCAGCAATTAGCGACATGAGTTTCTAGAAAATATCTTGCCACATTCCAGAGCTCATGCACACTCTATCAGCAGATAATGCACAGCCAAAGTCGCACTCAGGAGAGCATTATTTACAAGTTTATTCAGCGTTGATCAGAACACAGAAAAACATGACTGCCTGCTTTAGTGTCTATGACACAGAGAGAAAACGAAAGCAACAGAAAACATAAACATCCTGTGAACAGGAAATGCGCAGACTCTGACTCACAAAGCCTGCTCCCTTTTAAGGTGGAACGGAAATATCCTAACATGGTGAGCATTCAAAATAAACCACCCCGTGCAAATTTACTGTTGAATTTCAAGTCCTCCAACAGGCAAGAATACATTAGCCCCACCCTAAAAGTATCAAACATCCAATTACGAAAAAATTGTAATGAACAGTGCCCCATAATCTTTTTACCTGCTCAAACTGAAATCTCGCACTCCTTAGTTAAGAAAATGGCATGCAGTGGCACCACGGAGGGGGGTAGTGGGAGGGAGGGGAATGGATGGAGTACGCATGCGCATGCCTAAACGGCCTCGGCCCAATATACCTGAAGGAGCGTCTCCACCCCCATCGTTCTGCCCGGACACTGAGGTCCAGCGCCGAGGGCCTTCTGTCGGTTCCCTCACTGTGAGAAGCTAAGCTACAGGGAACCAGGCAGAGGGCCTTCTTGGTAGTGGCGCCTGCCCTGTGGAACACCCACCCACCAGATGTCAAAGAGATAAACAACTACCTGACATTTAGAAGACATCTGAAGGCAGCCTTGTTCAGGGAAGTTTTTAATGTTTGATGTATTACAGTATTTTAATATTTTTTTGGAAGCCGCCCAGAGTGGCTGGGGAAGCCCAGCCAGATGGGCGGGGTATAAATAATAAATTATTATTATATTATTATCTGCGTCTGCAATGGAAGTTCGCAGCTAAGTCGCAAGATACCAGGGCCCTGCGGGATCTGACATCTTTCCACAGGGCCTGCAAGATGGGAGCTGTTCTGCCAGGTCTTTGGTCCGGGGCTAGTCTGAACCCCTCCTTTCTTTCTATGGGACCCTGTATGTAAGTGGGCTCCTTGACTCTTTCTGTCGGCCCATATGGGACCAGCACGGGTAGCCGGGCCTGGTGAACATTTAATATTACTTACCCCTACGGTTGTGATTCGTGGATTCCCGCTTAATATTATTCTGATTTTAAATGTGATTTTGAATTATATCTTAACCAATTGTTTGATTTTGTGCTTTTAATGTATCATATATTTGGTGTTAGATGCCCTGAGCCCACGGTATTGGCCAGGGAGGGTGGGATATAAATAAAAATTATTATTATTATTAAGACTGCACCGGTTGTTGAAATTTTGCACCCCTAACAATTCTGCGCCTGGGGCACAGATGCCCCTGGTGGTATGTGGATCGTCGATATTTTGTGTTGAAACTGCATCACCATCCATGGTTACTACCTGACATTTAGAAGACATCTGAAGGCAGCCTTGTTCAGGGAAGTTTTTAATGTGTGATATTTTAATGTATTTTTAATCTTTGTTGGAAGCCGCCCAGAGTGGCTGGGGAAACCCAGCAAGATGGGCAGGGTACAAATAATAAATTATTATTATTATTATTATTATTATTATTATTATTATTATTACAGTGGTACCTCGCAAGACGAATGCCTCGCAAGACAAAAAACTCGCTAGACAAAAGGGTTTTTTGTTTTTTGAGCTGCTTCGCAAGATGATTTTCCCTATGGGCTTGCTTCGCAAGACGGCAACGTCTTGCAAGTTTGTTTCCCTTTTCTTAACACCGTTAATACAGTTGTGACTTGACTTCGAGGAGCAACTCATAGAACGCAGTGTGGTAGCCTTTTTTGAGGTTTTTAAAGACTTTGGTGATTTTTGAAGCTTTTCCAAAACTTTCCCGACACCGTGCTTCGCAAGACGAAAAGAATCGCAAGACGACAAAACTCGCGGAACGAATTAATTTCGTCTTGCGAGGCACCACTGTATTATTCCTGTTATGAGATCACTTGCTGAAACGACAACAGCCTCCTCTCAGGAATGGGGGCCTACTGTACCTGCCTCTGGTGGTAAGGATCAGACCTGCCTTCAGATCATGGACAGGAAAATAATTGACACCCCCCCAACCTTTTCATATACAGCGGTACCTCGAGTTACGTACTTAATTCGTTCCAGAAGTCCGTTCTTAACCTGAAACCGTTCTTAACCTGAGGTCCCACTTTAGCTAATGGGGCCTCCCGCTGCTGCCGCGGCGCCACCACACGATTTCTGTTCTCATCCTGAGCTAAAGTTCTTAACCCGAAGTACCACTTCCGGGTTAGCGGAGTCTGTAACCTGAAGCGTTTGCAACCTGAGGTGTTTGTAACCTGAGGTACCACTCTTCCGTTAAGAGTTTGGGTGTAATCCTTGACGCCTCCCTTTCCATGGAGGCGCAAGTTACAGCAACAGCCAAGGCGACATTTTTCCACCTTTGCTGCATCAAGCAGTTGGTCCCTTACCTTTCCGGCCCCGACCTGGCCTCAGTGATCCATGCAACGGTCACCTCCAGGCTTGACTACAGTAATTCGCTCTACGCGGGGCTGCCCTTGAAGCTGTCCCAGAAACTCCAGTGGGTGCAGAATGCTGCAGCGAGGCTCCTCACAGGGTCTCTGCCATGGGAGCATATTCACCCAGTGCTTTTCCAGCTGCACTGGCTCCTGGTGGAGCACAGGGTCAGATTTAAGGTGCTGCTTTTGACCTTTAAAGCCCTTCACGGCCTAGGACCCTCGTACCTACGGGACCGCCTCTCCCAATATGCCCCACGGAGAGCCTCAAGGTCCATAAATAGCAACACCCTAGAGGTCCCGGGCCCTAAGGAAGTTAGGTTGGCTTCAACCAGAGCCAGGGCCTTTTCAACTCTGGCTCCAGTCTGGTCGAACGCTCTGTCTCATGAGACCAGGGCCCTGCAGGATCTGATTTCTTTCCGCAGGGCCTGTAAGACAGAGTTGTTCTGCCTGGCCTTTGGCTTGGGAGTCAATTTGATTCCCTCCCCCTCTTTCTTTTTTCGTTTCGCCTCCTGTGATGCGGCTGCATTTTAATGTTTTAATGTTGTATTTTAATCTTGTTTTTAAGTTGTATTCATTCAACTTGTTTTTATTATTGGTTGTTAGCCGCCCTGAGCCCGGCCTTGGCTGGGGAGGGTGGGGTATAAATAATTGTTGTTGTTGTTGTTGTTGTTGTTGTCTCACACCTCTACCATGCACAAAGGAAACATTCGCCCAAAAGAACCAAATGTTTATTAGATCTCTCCAAAGGCACTAAGGACTCCAAATTCTAACATTTTAAATAGCTAATTAATTTAAAAAGTTCAAATGTACTTTTTTTTATTTAAAAAAACCACAGCAAGTTTCTAAGCCCTTTTGAGTGTGAGAGAGGAAAATCCCCAGAAAATATTAGACTTAGAAAGCAAGAAGTGTGAGAATGAGGCATCTAGCGGTCCACAGTTCAACAGAGACTGCCTCAGCCCTTATCCCAAACTTTCTAATACCTACTCTACTTCTGAAGTGTTCAGTGTCTCCCAGCTGTACAGCTCAACTTCTTTCATCAGCAGTAAGCAACACCGTGCTTTCTAGGTGTTGCCGTGCTACAACTCACATCAATCTTGAGCGCACTGGCTGAGGCCAATGGGAACTGTAGTTCCAAACACTTGGAAAGCACCATGGCGGCTACCCTGGCTTTGGGGGTTGGGATAAAAAGGGAGAATGCAACCCTGCCCTCCCCAATAAACCAGATCTCTGCAGATTTGCAAATAACATGCTAAATAATGTAGACTATGTTGGGTAGAAATCTAATCAGAAATGCAATAAAGCCAAGTTTACTCTTTGGTTCAGCTTATGGGGTAGAGGGAGCCATCTGACCAGCAGATTCCCCCTCGCTAGTACCATGACTAGCCATCTATTTTCAGTCCAGTATTTTTATATATTAAAAAACACCAAAGAGACAGAACTGAATGCTCTCTCGGGAAAAAAACAAAGAAATTTAACTCCAGTGAACCAGGTGGTTAACTGGGAGGAAAGCAAGCAAAAGGCAAAATAAGGCTACCCTGGTGCATACAAAACACCATACCCTGTTGTGTTGCAATGCTCAAACCAAAAGCAGAATCTTAAAACATGGCTCCAAAGTCTTCCATTGTCAACAGTGAATGGAAATTCTCTCTCTCCCAACAGAGGAAGAAGAAGCAGCCCAATTGCTGGGCCAAAGCAGTTGCTCTGCCATATAGTTTTCCCTTTGTTTGCATCTAATATTAAGAGATCCCTGCAAATTCCACTCACCCCCACAGTTGTGGATTTGCTCCCAGACATGGCAAACAGCAGCTGGAGATTGCAGTGGGCTCTAAAATCATATGAGCACCTCGTGGAACCTCACAATATGCCGTTTTGCCCCAGGCACAGGAAACATCAACAGAACAGAAATGCGCTCAATTCTGAAACATTCCCATTCCACAGAATAAAGGCTTTGGGTTTGAGCTGGGAGGTGTAAAGGGGAGAAGATTTCTGAAATGTTATGCAGACTTGGCTGAGAGGAAGCCCCATTCAGCAAGTGGGGCCGTCGTTTGAGTAAAGGCACTGCCAGCGCCACATTCCTATTTCAGCTCAGGAAAGAGGTTCTCCATTTTGCCTGTGATTGTCTTCCAGCTGTGGAAGGAAGGCTGAGAGGGAGAAGAGACCGACATCTGAAGGCGAGCTTCACAAAGATAATACTAGAAACTCGAGGCCATCATTCAGCTAATATTGGAAAATTCAGGACAGGCAAATGGAGGGACTTCGACACAGCACATTATGGAGCTCGTTCCCACGAAATGGAGGGATGGCCACCAACCTGAAAGGCTTTAAGAGACAATTGGATAAATTCATGGAGAAGCCTCTCAAGGGCTACTGGCTGTGATAGCTATGCTTCTACCTGCAGTGCCACAAGGACTTAGTCTCTGAGAAACAACTGCTGAGACTCACATGTGGGGAGAGTGCTGTGGCTGCCCTGCTCCCCACAGGCCTTTGGTTGGCCCTGAGGTGGACCTATGGCTTCATCCAGTAGGACTTAGTGCTGAATCTTATCCCCTTCTTCCAAGAGACCTCAAAGAGCAATTCACCTCACATGGTTTTTCTTTTCAAAAAAGATAATGCCTTCTTGTGCATCTCTTAGTTATGCTCAGTTAGGAAAATAGGAGGCTCTCCCACATTGAGTCAATTACTGATCCACCTGGCCAGCACTGCTGATTCCAAATGGGATCCAAATCTCTAGGATCTACCGCAGAGATCTTCCCTAGCTGTGCTTCCTGACAACACTCTTCTAGGTGGAGCCATCAAGGGTTGTGACTGACTTTCTGTTTGCCAAGCATGTGTACATTACACCACTGAGTGAAGGGCCCTTCCTCCTTCTTGGCAGCTATTGCCATTAGGTTAAAAAGCAGAGTTAGGGAACGTCAGGTTTGGGTGCTGAATGTGGCCCTGCGGTCATTTTTATTTGGCCCCCAGGACTCTACACATTACACCCCTAGTGTCCCTGCTTCGCATCTAACTGGTGTGTTTTCGCCTGGCTGAAATGTGCCCTGGAACTCTGACTGTGCCTCTTCCTTCTCTCGATGAACGCCAGAGAGGTGCACGTGAAGCTAGCCTACAAAGTTAAATTTTACATTCATTGCCCTTCCCACTTTTGCTCCCAGCCCTATCCAGAAGGGCCATGTGGGCCCTGAAAGAATGGAATGCCCCTCAGGTTGAAAGGGGCTCCCTGCCCCTGTTATAAGGTCAATGGTCATTTCCCAGCCTCCAGCAAACATAAGAGAGAACCCAACACAACTCCAGCCATGCTAATCTAAAATTGGACAGGTGGCATGCCTACAAGCAAATCCAACTGAAAACTGACCCTCAAAACAGCTTTAAGTGCCATGATCTCCTCTGTTTGAGTGGCAAGTTGATCTGTAAGTTCTCCCCTTTTCTTTACAGTACATGTGGTTTGTCCAAATTACTCTCATTCAAGCAGGAAGTCATTCCCTTTCCCTTTGTATCAGTTGACAGGATCATTGGTGGTTGAACTCTTGGAGCGTCCCAGTAAGACTATGGAATGGGAACTCGGAGCATCCCAGTCCTGGGAGGTTGGCGGTGGGAGGATGTCATCAGTAAGCGACGATCTGCTTCTAATGGGAAGAAGAGAGTCTCACGGGGACAGAGAGAGTTCAGGGTTGTATCTTTGTGGAGAAGGTGGGGGAGAAGGCAATTGGTCACGGCCAAAATCAGCAAACTGCAGCAGGCGCCAGGTGAAAGGTCTCTGTGCATGCTGCGTCTGTCACATTTTCGGCAGTCCATTGATGGAGGAGCAGGATCACAGCTTGCCATGTGACCCTTGTGGTAGCACAACTGCATTTCTCTTCCAATTCTGGTCAGTCAATTTCTTCTCCAATGTCTGGAAAGAAAAGGGAGGGAGGAAATGAAACCACGCGGAAAATGTTCCACGCGGAATACGTTCTCACTCTGAGTTGGCTTTGCAATGACAACTGAAGCCAATTCAGACAGAGGGCAATGCCTCCTGCCTGGCATCAAGTGGGGCAGAGAGGGCAATCACCACCACCATCAAGAGGAGACAAAGAAAGAGGTCAAAGATCTGGGGGTTATTAGCTCTGCCAAGGTGCGCGTATCATGCTTGACCTGTGGAAGTGACAATCTGCACATTGACTGCAACGTGCTGCTTTTCACTTCAAAGCAGCTCAACACATGGGTAGCAACCACTGAGGGGAAACTTTCCTTTACCTTCTTTGTTTTCCGTGTTCTTCAGAGGCTGCAAAGCTGTCGGGGGAAAGAGAAAGAGAGAGCACAGCACATGAGATTATTAGGCCCTAGGGCGTAACGCTGAGCAAATGTACTGAACAGACTAGCATGAATCGTGGAGAATATGACTTTCTGTCTACAACTCTTGCGGAGCCCAAACGTGTGTGTCTTACCCTACTCCGGAGAGACAGCAGACTCCCTCCCTCCCCAGACCCAACTCAGAAAGGCTGCTTTAGAGCTGGAAACGGTTCAGAAAAGTGCAGGATAGAGGGGCACAAAACTATCTGTGGGGTGGAGAAAGTGGAAAGGGGTCTCCTGACACCACGCAGGCCAGGGCAGCCTTCCGCTAGACTGCACCGGTTTGGTCTCCATGGCATTGGAAGACGCAGATAATAATATAATAATAATTTATTATTTATACCCCGCCCATCTGGCTGGGCTTCCCCAGCCACTCTGGGCGGCTTCCAAAAAAATATTAAAATACTGTAATACATCAAACATTAAAAGCTTCCCTAAACAGGGCTGCCTTCAGATGTCATCTAAAAGTCTGGTAGTTGTTGTTCTCTTTGACATCTGGTGGGAGGGCGTTCCACAGGGAGGGCGCCACTACCGAGAAGGCCCTCTGCCTGGTTCCCTGTAGCTTGGCTTCTCGCAGTGAGGAAACCGCCAGAAGGCCCTTGGTGCTGGACCTCAGTGTCCGGGTAGAACGATGGGAGTGGAGACGCTCCTTCAGATATACTGGACCGAGGCCATTCATGGCTTTAAAGGTCAGTACCAACACTTTGAATTGTGCTCAGAAACGTACTGACATCATGCGACATCTCACACACACATCACATACACGGGTGACATCACATACACACCCGCCCCCGCCCCCCAATCTTGGGGGCAACGCAGCGCCTGTGATTCGAGGTAATGAATTGCATGGTGCACAGGAGTAGAACGAGAAGCTAAGGTTTCAAAATGGAATCCGGTAGGAACATAGAAAGCTGCCTCCCACTGGGGCAGACTATTTGCCCCTTTGGACCACTGCTTCCTGCTCTGGCTGGCAGCAGCTCCCAGTTAGAGGTCTTTCCCTCCGCCTGCTACCTGAAGATCCTTCTAACCAGAGAATTGACAGAGCTATGGACCCTCAATTTGCATCCTTGTGCTCCGCTGCCTAATGTGGATGTGAAGCACAACAGGACTACTTCTCAAAAGGAGGGGGACAAATCTGCAAACCTCACTGCCTGCTTCCCTCCCCTTCCCCCCCCCCCCCGAATACCGCAGTCACACAGGTAGACGACGATGCCTGAAGCCTCCGCACTCTCAAGGAAAGATTAGAAACCAGGCAATCTATGTGCAATGTGTCTATTGCTGTGCTCAGAAGCAGATAAAGGGAATCACCAGGCTTATAATTAATCCATTTGATTACAGCCGAGTGCAGCTATCACACTTTATTAAAATGATAATCCAGTTTATCAGAGGCCTGCGTGGCTGAGAGCTTGCTGCAGCACATCAGGGAATTCTCTGCTCCAAGTCAATATCGGTGGGTGGGAGGGACATAAGAAACTGACTTGGACAGAGTCAGACCCCTGCTCCATCTAGATCGGTATTGGCTGGCAGAAGCTCTCCAGGGTTCAGACACAGTTCCCCCCAATCACACTTATTTATTGTGCATTTATAGCACAATCTCCTTACAAAAAACAAAAAAACTTTGGCTTACTAAAAAAAGCTCCACAACTTTGGGTAGATCACTGCCAGTCTTTTTACGGCAATGGTTAGATCACTGCCATTTTTTTTTATACTGTGAGTAGATCCCACTCTATTGGGAGTTGGACGTCCCTGATTTATAGGATTTCTAAGTTTTCCTTAACAAGGGTGGGCTACAATCATATAAAGAGACGCTATTAAAATCTGTTAAATTTACGTCAAAAGAATAGTGTACATCCTAATACAGGCCCCATCTGCACCACACACTTAAAGCAGTATCATAACACTCTAAACAGTCCTGGCTCCCCCCACAAAAACTCCTGGGAACTGTAGTTTGCAAAAGGTGTTGAGAGTTGTTACGAAACCCCTATTCCCAGAGCTACAGTTCTCGGAAATTCCCCGGGAACAGGGGTTGATGGTTACACCATTCTGGGAGTTGTAGTTCGGTGGGGGAGGAATAGGGGTGTACTGACAGTACCCTTAACAAGCCGATTCCCATGATTCTTCAGGAGAAGCCACAGCTCTTTAAAGTGGCACGATATTGCTTTAAATGCATTGTGCAGACGAGGTCGTATATATCTCAGCAGTCAAAGGCAAAATAAAGAGGTGTACTTGGAGATGCTGGGGATTGAACCTGGGACCTCCTGCATGCAAAGCCTGAGCTCTACCACTGAGCTACAGCCCTTCCTCGTGGCACCCAAGTTAGGCATGCAACCATGGTGGTGATGCTCTCAAAGCACTCCGTGTTGGAAGTAAGCTGTACATGTCGTGCCATTCTGGCCACATATGCAACAGCACCCCTAGCCCAAACACTGAAGATAGAAGGAAAAATATAGCGCTGCTCCAGCTTCAAATTCAACAGAACCCCTAGCCTGAACAGCAGGAATAATATTGACCCAATCTAGTGCTCTGCTACTACTGTGGTCCCTTGGTTCTCAAACTTAATCCGTTCCAGAAGTCCATTCCAAAACCAAAGCATTCCAAAACCAAGGCAGCTTTCCCATAGAAAGTAATGCGAAATGGATTGATTCGTTCCAGACTTTTCAAAACAATGCCTAAAACAGCAATTTAACATGAATTTTACTATCTAACGAGACCATTGATCCATAAAATGAAAGCAATAAACCATGCACTGCAGCCACACAATCAATCAACCAGTAGCTGAACTGGTTTCCACAGAGTCACAAAAACAAAACAAAAAAGCCGCAAAAACAAAAACGCAACATAAATAGCAAAAACAAACAGACCTCAGCGTAGCACTCAAAACGGAAGTGTGGCACTCAAATCAGAATCGTAACACTCAAATCATCAGCGTAACACTCAAAACGGAAGTATGGCACTCAAAACAGAGCAAATTCGGCTTCTGAAAAATGTTCACAAACAGGAACACTTAGAATCATAGAATCATAGAGTTGGAAGAGACCACAAGGGCCATCGAGTCCAACCCCCTGCCAAGCAGGAAACACCATCAGAGCACTCCTGACATATGGTTGTCAAGCCTCTGCTTAAAGACCTCCAAAGAAGGAGACTCCACCACACTCCTTGGCAGCAAATTCCACTGTCAAACAGCTCTTACTGTCAGGAAGTTCTTCCAAATGTTTAGGTGGAATCTTCTTTCTTGTAGTTTGGATCCATTGCTCCGTGTCCGCTTCTCTGGAGCAGCAGAAAACAACCTTTCTCCCTCCTCTATGTGACATCCTTTTATATATTTGAACATGGCTATCATATCACCCCTTAACCTCCTCTTCTCCAGGCTAAACATGCCCAGCTCCCTTAGCCGTTCCTCATAAGGCATCGTTTCCAGGCCTTTGACCATTTTGGTTGCCCTCCTCTGGACACGTTCCAGTTTGTCAGTGTCCTTACTTCCGGGTTTGCAGTGTTTGGGTTCCAAGTTGTTTGAGTACCAAGGCGTTTGAGAGCCAGGATACCACTGTATTATTTTTTAGACTTTTCAGCCCAGAACATACAATCAGAAACAGGCTGCTCCCCCCATGCACAGTTCACGTTGGCCAGGATGAGTAAATTGGCAAGCTACAGTTGTTAGCACATGACCCACCCCAGAGTTCTTGCTCTGGGGCTGCCAGAAAGATACAAAATCTGACTAACCTGTCTTGGATCCTTCTCCTTCATCCTGTTCCTCTCTTGCTGGAAAAAAAAAGTGCAAAAAGGAAGGTTAAAAAATAAAAACCAAACACTGCCATCCAGTGGTTAAATATCCCCATTATCAGGCCAGGTGGAGCTGTGTAGTACTGGACTCACTGATACTATTAAGATTCAGATCAAGGATGGAGAACATATGGTCTTCCTGTTGTTGTGGGACTCCAACTCCCATCAGCCCCTGCCAATGATCGGGGTAATGGCAGGGCTTTTTTTCCAGCCAGAACTTCAGGTGGGCATCATTGCCATTATAAGAGAATAAGGGAAGCATTCATTGTGAGTTCCGGCACCTCTTTTCCCCCAGAAAAATAGCACTGCAGTTGTAGTCTAGTAACACCAGGCAGGAGAAAGCTGGTCCACACTACAGAAACATTGAGGGGTTGTTTTTTAACAAGCAAACAAGCCACTTTTAGCAACGAGAAATAGCAGAGATGGGTACAACTCAGAAACTAACACCAAGAAGCTAACACAACAGAGCCTTTCCAAACTCCCTTCTCGCTGTACTAAAAACTTGCTTTAAATTGCCACTTTCATCCCCTGCTCGCTCTTATTAAACATCTGCCACTTTTAAAAATCACCATTTCCCCCTCTCGGTGTCCTTCCATCCCTGCTTTACTCAAACCTCTGCTCTTGTTTAAAACATCCTCTTTTTCTCTCCTTTCAGCATCTTTCCCAACTTGCTGTACTCAGAACTTCTGCATCTTCCATTCCTCAGCTGTCTCATGTGCAGGAGATAAAGGATGTGGCAACCTCAAATATCCCATAGTACTTTACTCAAACTTCTCCCGTTGTTTTAAACCACAATTTCAGTGTCTCTTCCTTCTTTTTTTCTTTTTTTCTGTCTTTTTCAGTAAGGTAAAGGTAAAGGGGCCCCTGACCATTAGGTCCAGTCGTGGCCGACTCTGGGGTTGTGGCACTCATCTCGCTTTATTGGCCGAGGGAGCCGGCATACAGCTTTCAGGTCATGTGGCCAGCATGACTAAGCCGCTTCTGGAGAACCAGAGCAGCACACGGAAACGCCGTTTACCTTCCCACCGGAGCGGTACCTATTTATCTACTTGCACCTTGACATGCTTTTGAACTGCTAGGTTGGCAGGAGCAGGGACTGAGCAACGGGAGCTCACCCCGTCTTGGGGATTCGAACCGCCGACCTTCTGATCGGCAAGTCCTAGGCTCTGTGGTTTAATCCACAGCGCCAACCACATCCCTCTTTTTCAGTAGGATTATTATTATTATTATTATTATAGATTTTCTTGGTGTCTCTTCCTTCTTGGTCCCATGCCACGCTGTCACTTTTGCTCCCCTGCCCTGCCCTGTCTTCATGCAAACCCAGGTTTGTGACGCAGCGCTACAAACCCTCCAATGGGGACTTGCACAAAGACATTCTTTCACTTTGATTATATTTATGTATACCAGCTCTCTCTCTCTCTTCTTTGCAGCTCTGGCGAATTTTCTTCTGGCACACATACGCCAGGGCAACCAGGAGGATGACAAGGCAGATGGCCAATCCTACTGTCACCCAGAGAGCCACAGCAGGAAACAGGAGGTGTTGACCTGGAAAGGAGAAAACAGGGAGAAGATGGTAAAGTCTCTGTCAATGCCATTGATGGGAAGCAAAGGAGGGAAATGTCTCTGAAGGGAAACAGATAAATCCACTGGGTTGCCACAAGGTCATATGCACACATACCAGATCTCACTTTAGACAAGGAGATCCTAACAGGCATCCCATTCAAGATGTATGGAAATATTCCTGCAAAATTTGTGCAAGATGTTCTGCTTTGCTACTATCCATCTACTGTATCTATCTATATCTATCTATCTATCTATCTATCTATCTATCTATCTATCATCTACCTATAATTTTTATTAAATTTTCTGTTTTACAATTTAGAATATTCATTTAAACAACTTTAAAATATCACTGACTTCCCTTCTTCTCTTTCCATGGTTCATTTTGCATAACATAAATCCCTGCATATTTTATATAAACTATACAATTCAGTTTTCCATTATTGCATTCATCAAAACTTATTTACACTGTTGAATTTATCTGAATGCTGCCAACGTTTTCTAGTGTACACGACTTTCCCCCACATATTCAATAAACATTTTCCAATCTTCTTTAAACGAAGGTTCTTCTTGTTCTCTTATTCTATAAGTTAGATCCGCAAGTTGTGCATATTCCATCAGTTTAAGCTGCCATTCTTCTTTAGTTGGGACCTTGCTCGTTTTCCATTTTGGGGCTAACAAAACACGGACCACAGTAGTGGCATACACAAATAACCCTTTTTGAGACCTGGGAATTTCCATCTGAATTATCCCCAACGAAAAGAGATCTGTTGTTGTTTTGAAAAGTGCTTTTTATACATTTTTTTTCAATTCATTGTAAATTATTTCCCAATACTGTTTTACCCTTTTACTGGTCCACCACATATGAAAGAACATTCCCTCTACCTCATTGCATCTCCAGCACTTATCTGATTCAGTCTTAAACATCTTAGCAAGCCTAAAAGGTAAAGGTAAAGGGACCCCTGACCATTAGGTCCAGTCGTGACCGACTCTGGGGTTGCGACGCTCATCTCGCTTTATTGGCCGAGGGAGCCGGCGTACAGCTTCCGAGTCATGTGGCAAGCATGACCAAGCCACTTCTAGCGAACCAGAGCAGCGCACGGAAACGCCGTTTACCTTCCCGCCAGAGCGGTACCTATTTATCTACTTGCACTTTGACGTGCTTTCGAACTGCTAGGTTGGCAGGAGCAGGGACCGAGAAACGGGAGCTCACCCTGTTGCGGGGATTCGAACCGCCAATCTTCTGATCTGCAAGTCCTAGGCTCTTTGGTTTAACCCACAGCGCCACCCGCGTCCCCCTTAGCAAGCCTACTCTGAGTTAAATACCACCTGTAAATCATTTTCAAGTAGTTCTCCTTCAAGGAATAACATGCTGTAAACGTCCGATCGCTCTTCCAGAGTTTTTACCAGTTATTAAAATCTATATTAACTGCTTTGCTACTTTCAAAGGGAAGTTCCAGTATGTAGCTGATAGATTTGGGCTCCATCGGAGCTGGGGGTAGCTTCCTCGCAAAAGTCCTGCCGATTTTTCCACAGCTCTCCAGTATCACCATCAAACCCACGTGTGCACTCAGTTGCATGCTAAATAGGCAGCAGGACAAGAACGGCTGCTTCCTTAATTATAGCTTTTAAGAAAATGTACTTGACAATGTTCTGCACTGGCCTACAAGGTAATGATCACCACCAATCTGCTTCACCAGAAGCTGTGGGCTCCTTTGTGGGCAACCTAGCCAGATGGGCAGCATATAAATAAATTATTGTCATTCTGTTGGGATGTCCCCCTGTTTTCTGCCACCCTCATTTTCAAACACAGCCATTGCCTGAGAAGCCCACAATTCCTGCCAGATATTTCAACTGAGCAAGATGAAACTACCGTACTTTTCTGTCTATAAGACACCGCCATGTATAAGACACCCCCTATTTGTGGGGACTCAAATTTAATAAAATGGGGGGAGAGGGCACAGAGTTGTTCAGCTTTTTTGCAGAGTATTGCCCAGGGTTGTTGAGCTTTTTTTAGGGGGGACTGCTGAAAATCGCTCACCTGCACGCATCAATAAGTCCGCCTCCTGTCTGTCCCATCGCCGGCAGAAGCTGCCAATTCCCCCCCCCCCCAATTGCAGGAGTGCCAGCCAATCAACACCACCCATTGATGTAGCAACCAATAATACGCACAACAGCCGTTGACCGCCTTGGCAGCAACCGATTAAACGTCCAACCTATGCACTACCCATGTATAGGACGACCCCCATTTTTTAGCATGCTTTTTAAAGAAAAAAACATAGTCTTATACACTGAAAAGTACGGTATATTGAAACTAACTGAGCAAGACTATCGAGGTCACTGTCCTGCGTGATAATTCTGGTGTCACTCTGGTGTAGGTCAGGGCAGAAAGCGTTTGGAGGATTGGGGGAGGAGGATATTGCAGCCCCCCTCCTTGTGATCTATTTTTCTCACTTTGCCAATTCATCCCCAGGTAGTGGGGTGGCAGGCGCTGTCCAGCCTGCAATCACCCCACATTTAACAATGATTTTGGCATCAGACCCTGGGACCGGAGAAATATCCTTGCCCCAGAATTGGCTAAACTGACATACAAACTGTGAGATAAGGACAACTGTCACTTTAAAGAAGAATAGGAACTTTTTACAAAGTACAGTGGTACCTCGGGTTACATACACTTCAGGTTACAGACGCTTCAGGTTACAGACTCTGCTAACCAGAAATAGTACCTCAGGTTAAGAACTTTGCTTCAGGATGAGAACAGAAATCGCACGGCGGCAGCGTGGCAGCAGCAGGAGGCCCCATTAGCTAAAGTGGTGCTTCAGGTTAAGAACAGTTTCAGGTTAAGAACAGACCTCCGGAACAAATTAAGTACGTAACCCGAGGTACCACTGTATTTTAAAAGACAACAAGATGAATTGGACTCCTTGGCAGATTTTGAATAAACATACACAAACTTACTGATTGATAACATGGTAGATACATAATATAAGGATCGATATAATTTTATAATATTTAGAGAACAACATGTGATGAGAAATCAGAGAGAGGAGCTGAGGGAAGTCTCAGGGGGGAGGGAGGGTTTGATGGGGAGTGGGGGGAAAGGGGGGGAAATAATGAGTATTATATGTTTTGATATATTCTTATGTTGAAATTGTTCATAAAAACTTTTTTTTTTAAATAGAAACATCCTTGCCCAACCATCAAAATTCACCCTGGGCCAGTGACTCTCTCTCCCATCCTAGCCCACCTTACAGGGTTGTTGAGAGGGGTGGCTGGGAAAGAACTATAACCGTCACCTTGAGGTTCTTGGAAGAAAGGTGGGGGAAGAATCATAGAATCGTAGAGTTGGAGGGAACCCCAAGGTTCATCTAGTCCAGCCCCCTGGAATGCAGGAATCTCAGCTAAAGCATCCATGACAGATGGCCATCCAACCTCTGCTTCAAAACCTCCAAGGAAGGAGAGTCCACAATCTCCCAAAGACCATTCCACTCTCGAATAGCTCTTACTGCGAGAAAGTTCTTCCTGGTACTTAGCCAGAATCTCCTTTCTTGTAACTTAAAGCCACTGGTTTGAGTCCTGCCCTCCAGAGCAGGAGAAATCAAGCAAATTCAAATGGTACAAATGGAATAGATAAGCTTTGCACACAGATGGCGATGTCCAGAATTTTGATGAATAATAATAATAATAATAATTTATTATTTATACCCCGCCCATCTAGCTGGGTTTCCCCAGCCACTCTGGGTGGCTTCCAACACAATATTAAAATACAGTAATGCATCAAACATTAAAAGCTTCCCTAAACAAGGCTGCCTTCAGATGCCATCTAAAAGTCTGGTAGCTGTTGTTCTCTTTGACATCTGATGGGAGGGCATTCCACAGGGCAGGCACCACTACCGAGAAGGCCCTCTGCCTGGTTTCCTGTAACTTGGCTTCTCACAGTGAGGGAACCGCCATAAGGCCCTCGGAACTGGACCTCAGTGTTCGGGGAGAACGATGGGGGTGAAGACGCTCCTTCAGATATACTGGACTGAGGCCATTTAGGACTTTAAAGGTCAACACCAACACTTTGAACTGTGCTCGGAAATATACTGGGAGCCAATGTAGGTCTTTCAAGACTGGTGCTATGTGGTCTCGGTGGCTGCTCCCAGTCACCAGTCTAGCTGCCACATTCTGGATTAGTTGTAGTTTCTGGGTCACCTTCAAAGGTAGCCCCGTGCAGAGCGCATTGCAGCAGTCCAAGCAGGAGATAACCAGAGCATGCACCACTCTGGTGAGACAGACAGCGGGCAGGTAGGGTCTCAGCCTGCGTACCAGATGGAGCTGGTAGACAGCCGCCCTGGACACAGAATTGACCTGTGCCTCCATGGACAGCTGTGAGTCCAAAATGACTCCTAGGCTGCACACCTGGTCCTTCAGGGGCACAGTTACCCCATTCAGGACCAGGGAGTCCGCCACACCTGCCCACCTTCTTAAGATTCATTAAAGGGCTACTGGGTGGAAGAAGCAGAATCAGCTGGAGAATAAGGGGACACTCCCTGCAAAACTGGAGTCAGCCGTGTACTTTGCACGTTCAGGAGCCAAAATCCCCCGCCCGATAAGAGCTGATGAAATGACAATGGTTCGCTCAGATTGCGGGAGTCAGGGGCCAAACGATGCGGGCGGGTGCTTCCAATTGCTGCCTTTCTACAGGGCCAGCGGATACGCCAGGGAAGGCAAGGAAACAGCAGGTTGAAATTACCCCGTAAAACACTTCATTAACCTTTAAATAATTATGCTAATAAATTCAAATAGATGCTGATTGTCACACTTTGCTGGGGAAGGGAGTCTCGGCTAAAGGCACTTTAAAACAGGACCAGTCTCTGCAAAGACAGCAATTCCATAGAATCATAAAATCATAGAGTTGGAAGAGACCACAAGGGCCATCGAGTCCAACCCCCTGCCAAGCAGGAAACACCATCAGAGCACTCCTGACATATGGTTGTCAAGCCTCTGCTTAAAGACCTCCAAAGAAGGAGACTCCACCACACTCCTTGGCAGCAAATTCCACTGTCAAACAGCTCTTACTGTCAGGAAGTTCTTCCTAATGTTTAGGTGGAATCTTCTTTCTTGTAGTTTGGATCCATTGCTCCGTGTCCGCTTCTCTGGAGCAGCAGAAAACAACCTTTCTCCCTCCTCTATGTGACATCCTTTTATATATTTGAACATGGCTATCATATCACCCCTTAACCTCCTCTTCTCCAGGCTAAACATGCCCAGCTCCCTTAGCCGTTCCTCATAAGGCATCGTTTCCAGGCCTTTGACCATTTTGGTTGCCATGTACGCCAAGGAAAGGCCAAGGGAAGAAGGATTGGAACTCTGCAAACTCATATGCACGATTATTTCCACCCAGTGCAGCCGTCCCGTGTGAGGCCCTCCGGACTCTCCCCAGGCTACACCGCTCACCAGCCCTGTTTTGCATCCTCCTGGAATGCTTTTGCCTGGCTGGAACAAGTCCTGGTACTCTGATATTGCCTCTTGCTTGTCAGGATGGGGAGAGAGAGGGCAGTGCACAAGTAGAAGCCAGCTTGTTTTAGAGATGTTAAACTTAGATGCATGACTCTGCCCACTTTTGCCTCTCACACCACTGGCACGCTCCGAAGGGAACGCTGCTTTTAAAGGTAAAGGGACCCCTGACCATTAGGTCCAGTCGTGGCCAACTCTGGGGTTGCGGCGCTCATCTTGCTTTAATGGCCAAGGGAGCCGGCGTACAGCTTCCGGGTCATGTGGCCAGCATGACTAAGCCGCTTCTGGCGAACCAGAGCAGCACACGGAAACGCTGTTTACCTTCCCGCCGGAGCGGTACCTATTTATCTACTTGCACTTCAATGTGTTTTCAAACTGCTAGGTTGGCAGGAGCAGGGACCGAGCAACGGGAGCTCACCCCGTCACAGGGATTCGAACCGCCGACCTTCTGATCGGCAAGTCCTAGGCTCTGTGGTTTAACCCACCATGCCACGTGGCCTTTAGGCTTACAAAAAAAAATGGTTTGCCACCTCTCTCCTATTCAAAAGTACAGATTAGCCCTACCCACTGGCGTCCACAAATAAGGGGTGGGTGCTAGGGGCAAGGCTAGTGAGCACATGAGGCTTGTGAGTTCAGGGCATGGCTACTCATTGGTCTTGCACCAAATATTGGTCTTGCAGCAAGGTATAGCTTTCAAATAGGGCTGGAGATTTCTGGTATCCATTGATAGATATAAGGACAAAATATAATCCGTCCAGCTCATGTGCACATATATTGTTCTGAGAGTATCCTGATGTTTTGTGTGTTTGCCAAGGTATCTTTGGCACTTTTGTAAAATAAAATTAAAGGCAAAAAAGAAGAAGGAAATGCCTTTAAATATGTAAAGAGTGCCCTTCCTTTTTCACCAGCAGCCCCTAAGGCAGGCCATGGCTCAGATACCGGGGTGTTCAGCCCCACCATCTCCTGGTTCAGATATTTAGAAGGCAGCTAAACTAAAAACCACAGAATTTTTAAAAAACACAGAGAGATTAAACAAATCTGTGATGCTGCTAAGTTTACGTAAAACGTATTCCCATTGCAGAATTGGAGTTTTCAGGTTGCAGAATGTGAGAGGTACAGAATTTCATAGAGTTCCAGGACAAATGCAAACACACACATACACACACACAATTGCACCTTTGTGATACAGGGCTACCATAAGCATCTCTTTAACAGCCGTGGCCGCCATACTGTTTAGGCTGCACCCAAGAAAAGGTGTTTTGCCAGGTGTCGCAAGGCCCAGCCATTCTCCATCGCCATTCAAGTGGCGCCATGCATTTAGCCAAAAGGTTTATGTTCCTTGAGGGACCCTCCTTCACAAGCCAGCAATTGCTGTGCCAAGGATAATTAAACACTAATTAATGTTACCTGCAAGTGAACAAGGTTACAAAGAGCTTCAGGGTGTCTATAAAAGTTGAGATGGTGTGACAACAACTGGAAGCCACAAGGAAGAACCAGGGGGAAGTCATGTGAACAGAATTTCACAGGGAGATCAAACTTCTATCAAAGATGTAAGGCTGCAATCCTATATATACCTACCAAGGAGTAAATCCCACCGATCCACGTTTTCTATTGCAAAAACTTCAATCCTAAACATATTTACCTGGAAAACTGTAAGACCTGCTTCCCCAGCCAGACCCTCCAGATGTTTTTGACTCCAACTCCCATGTATGGCCAACAGTCAAGGATGGTGGGAGTTGTCAAAAGTTGGGGGAAGGCTGTTCTAAGCAAACATAGGCAGGACTTAACTGCCATATTGATCCTAACCTGAAACCCAAGAAGGTTTAGCACAGGGCAATATTATAAAGGAGACCCTTTTTAAAAGAGAAGACAAGCACAGGCATGCTTGGCCTCTGGAAAGTTTTATAAGGGGTAGACAACATCTGTCTAAAATCCAAGATGCTATACTAAGCCGTCAGCTGCGATCTGAGCCAAGGAAAGGTCTCCCACCAGAGGTTGTGGAATCTCTTTCCTTTGAAGTTTTAAAGCAGAGGTTGGATGGTGATCTGTCATGGATGCTTCAGCTGAGATTCCTGTATTGTAGGGGGTTGGACTAGATGACCCTCAGGATCCCTTCCAAGACTACAATTCTATGATTCTATCACTAAAAGAAGGCAGGCTCCCCCAAGCTGGCGCCATCTGGATATTGTTGGATTTCAACTCCCATCAGCCCCAACCGGCATGGACAACAGTCAGGGATGATGAGGTTGTAGCTCAGTTAACATATGGAAGGCACTAGGTTAGGGAATAGAGAGAGCATCAATGAACAGAGTGCTCAGCATAAGCAAAAGAGACAGGCCCCTGTCTCTCAGAACTTACAAGTTATATTTGTCAAGAGGGGGGAAGAACAGAGCGAGTCTCAGCGGCGACTGCAGCTAGATTCAGGAATCATCCTCAAGCTGGTGCATAGTTCCTCCATATGCTGTGCTAATAGAGCCAGAGGGGAAAGCCTCTCTTTTGGAAGTTCTGAACTCCTGAGATAATTCCATGCAGCCAACAACATGGAACAGGTTTGCTGGCTTCTAATCCATTTCAGGATCACGATACCTCAAGGACCACCTCTCCCCATATGAACCGACTAGGACCCTACGATCGTCATCTGAGGATCATCTTCACTTGCCTCCTCCATGAGAGGTCCAGAGGGTGGCAACATGAGAATGGGCCTTATCTGCAGTGGCTCCCCGTCTGTGGCATGCTCTCTCCAGGGAGGCTCGCCTGGCACCGTCATTATATATATTTAGGCACCAGGCAAAAACTATCCTTTATAACCAGGCTTTGGCCTTTAACTATCTGTGGGCTTTTTGAAGTGGACAGGGTCTGCTTAAAGTATTTCATTCTCACCTTGGTTTTAATGTATTTATGTGGCAGTTGAGGGGGGGGTTGTCTTGGTTGGTTGGAAGTCACTTTGGGTTGCCCTGGGCAAGATAAAGCAACTAGCAAATTCAATTGATGATGATGATGATGCCCAATTCAAAGTCCTGGCCATCAGTCCTTCTAACAGCAATCGCCAGCAGTGAGTTCCAACAAGGCTGTAGTCAAAACAAGACTGATAATTTGTAAACAAAGAAATCTTTTATATACCGGTATATAAAACCAAGACTGATAAGAAATAGTCTGGTGGAAGTGGTGGTGGTTTATCAGCATCCTTGAAGCAATTCAGAGGTTGGCAGAACCACAAAAACAGGGTGGGGACAAGGGTTAAGGATAGGGCCTTCTCAGTGGTCATGCTCAGTTTCTGAAACCTTGCTCCCTCCCACCAGCTCTCAAAGCAGGACCAGCTCTATCATTAGACAAAGTGAGGCAGCTGCCTCAGGCCCAGTATTCTGGCTGGACTAATGGAAATGAGCAGTGTGCATGCACCTTAGTTTGTTGTCCACCAGTGGTGAGAAATCCATGGTCCCCCAGATGGTTAGGGCTGGGCGATATCTGGTTTTCAGCATCGATATATCAGCAGCTAAACACCGAGATATGCTAATATGTTGTGATGTCTGCGATGTATCTTGGCTGCTTCTTCCACCCCAACATAGGGGAGGAAGAAGCAGTCAAGATACATTGCCAAGCCCTACTGAGCAAGCCCTCCCTGGCTCGCACCTCTGCCTGCCTGCCTGCCTGCGCCTTTGCTGTCTGCAGGCAATTTGAGCTTGGAATACATCACGGCTCCCCGGCCACCACAATGCACTGCCAGCTCAAAATGTCTGAAATTGGTATCATGACATGAACACCATACCAGTTTCAGACAATTTACCAACATATAACCCATATCTACAGATAGATTCCAACTTCTGTCAGCCCCAGCCAGCAAAGCCAAGGGTCTCATCCCTGAGAAGAATAGAAAGTCGAACAACCGATGACCCCACTCCTTCCATATGCACCCGGATGACAGTGTTTGGTCCAGAACTACGAGATACCCTGCGCTCAGCCCTTTCTCCTCTCCACTTTCTCCCACCTTCAAACCATCCCTTTCACTGCAAAAGTTCTAGGAGCCTCCCTCCCCACTAAGGCTGGCTGGAATAAACAGCACCGAAAACTCTTACACAGAATCAAGACATTAACGGCCAGAGAAGCAGCCCTGCCGAAGGAGCGTCCTGTACAATAAACAGCGCTTAATAAAGTGTCCCTGCTGCCGTTATTTATGAGTTGTTTCAGCATCTCCCTCTCCCGTGCTCGTATTCCTGGAGCTTGTCACCAGGCAGCAGCAGCAGCATCCCAGAGCCCTGCAAGAGCCATCAAACATCCGCTCCCGAGTGCCTGCCAACAGCCAGCCAGGATATTTTGAGCACCGAGTTAACCACAGCCCAAATAATGCAGATCAACGAGGGCTTGGATCAGGCAACAGGGCAGGGACCTGTTCAGAAATTCTGTCTTGGATCATGGGAGGGAACACAAAAGACACCCCCCCCAAAAAAAAAAAATCCCTCCTGTGCCCGGGTGCAAGGAAGTCAGGGAGAGAGGTCACCTCTTCAGCTTTCAAATCAAAGGCAGGGTGAAAGTTGGGGTGGGGAAACCTTTTCAGTCCAGGGGCTACACTCTCTTCTAGATAACTTTCCAGGGGCCACTGTTAGAATTCCTGCTCCACGATTGCAGTCATGGGATTTTTGTCTATCACATGACGGTATATGTTTTGACTCCACAGAGTGGGAAGTGACGGAGGCAGGATGTTTGTGTTACTGTGTTCCATGAAGTGGGACTATTGTCCTTTGTTCTTTTTCTCTTTGCTGTCTGATGCTAGAAAGAGAGGGAGCCATGTTGCAGTTCTCCGCGTGTGTTTATATGTAAATAAAGTAGATTAGCCCAAATGCTTAGCTGCTGAGGTCTGTCACGCATGATGCGCAAACTCTACGGATCCCTAAGTGTGGCATCGGTCGCTGTGATGTTCGGACTGAACAAAGCTTTTGAAGCTCCCGAACGATCGACCAGGAGGGAGAGAACATGCCAGTCAGGCATGTGTCTCTACCAGGGTCCTACTCGAGTGTAGGCTGAGCTCCTGACAGCCACAAGCAGGTGGTGGATAGGGGCAGAGACAGAACTATGCAGAGCACTTGCTATAAATTTTATGTTTGCAGATTTGGCCAGTTTCTTTACAAGCACCTGTCTATCCAAACAGGGCGTGAGACTAGATGGGCCACTAGCCAACCAAACATTAGGAAGAACTTTCTGACAATAAGAGCTGTCCAACAGTGGTACTGACCACCTCGGAAGCTGGTGGGCTGTCTTTCATAGAAGGTTTTGAAGCTCATTCATTGAGGTTTCTAAAGAAGTCCCAACGAAAGAAATATGGGTTTTCAAGTGAAAAATAATAGACTCTGCAGGGATGGCAAAGCTGACGGCAAAAATAAGAGATCAAAAAGATGAGAACTTTGCTGGAGGTTCTTTTCTGACTATGTGAGAAAAAAGCTATACTCAAATGTAATCACAAGCAGGATTTGAATAATAGGAAGGAGAACAAATAAATGACTGTGACATAAGTTATAATACAATAAATGGCAGCTGTGGCAGCAGATAAAGGAAAACAAGAGGAACATCACGGATCTAAGGATGGGAAGTCAAAATGTAAAAATAATAATATTATATTGAAAGTGAATTGAAGAAGATCGGAAAACGTTTATTGAATATATGGGAAATAATTGTGTACAGCTGAAAACGCTGGCAGCATTAAGATAAATTCAACAGTGTAAATAAGTTTTGATGGATGTAATAATGGAATACTGAATGGTATATTTTCTGTAAAATATGCAGGGTTTATGATATGTAAAATGAACCATGGAAAGAGAAGAAGGGAAGTCATGGATATCTTAAGAATGTAAACTGAGTATTTTGAATTGTAAAACAGAAAAATTAATTTTATATATAGGGATTCCTGAGCTGCGATTCCTGCATTGCAGAGGCCTGGCAAGAGGCAAACCTTCCAACTCTAGAATTCTAGGTTCTTTGCTTCCCTTTCCCCACCTGGTCTTGATCCTATGCCTTTCCTGAGCAACAGCCAGACCTTTCTCACACAGAGCCCCCCAGTGGCATGCCAGCCCCCAGCCATCTCCGCTCCCTGCTCCCACCCAGCTGACCTGTGATGGTGACAGAGGCGTGGGTCTCCTGCCGCAGCAAAGGGTTCCTCACTAAGCAGCTGTAGGTGCTGTTGGGCTCCAGCACCACCCGCAGGATGCTCCGCACGTCGAAGAGGCCCTCCTCGTTGGCCACCTGGGAGGTGGTGATGTTCTCCGTTATGTTGTTGCCACGGCCATCTTGCCACAGCACCGTCGCCTCAGGGTAGCCGGAAAAGGTGTGGCATATCACAGTGACCAGGTCTCCTGGCTTCAGGTTCTTGTTGGGCTCCAGGTTCAAGTTGGGCTTGGAGTAGAAGGCTGGAAGATGAGGAGCAGGTGGAATGCTGTTCAGCCCGCAAATTTAATAAGTACATCCCTTATCATATATCAACAAAGGTAACATTAAAAAAACCCTCACATTACAGTCATACCTTGGGTTGAATGTGCTTTAGGTTGAGCGCTTTCAGATTGCACTCCGCTCGTGCATGCGCAGGCGCTCAAAAATGACGTCATGCGCATGCGCAGAAGCGGCAAAATGCGACCCGTGCACGCGTGTCTTACGTTCTATTCAGGATGTGAACGGGGCTCCGGAACGGATCCCGTTCGCATCCCGAGGTACCACTGTATTCGAAATGCATTATATTGCTTGCAAAAAAATGCATATATTAGCAAAGAAATTTCACTGGAATGCTAAGGAATCTTTGTGATCTTTTTTCTGTTTAAAGAATTGCAAATTGATGAAGAAATGTAAGGGAGTAAATGCAAGATGAGGGAGGTGGACCAGGACTCAGCCTTTAGCAATGGTTCTCAAAGTGCGTGATGTACCTGTCAGGATGCTGTCAGCGGCTCCCAACTGGTTGCCCAGGAAAGTATAAAGACAAGGAAAAGTTTCTTACCGTCCTTTTTTATTTCAATCTTTACAGAGAGAGGCTATAGAACCCAGCCTCTTGGATAATGGCATTGTCCCGAGTGAATCTCCACCCCTGTCTCTCCCACTTCCTCATTCATCACTTCTATAGGTGTTGCTACGTTCCCTCTGTCTTTGAGCTCTTTGCTCTCCTACTTTTAAGGCTCGTCAGCTTCTGGGAGGTGGAGGGTATGGAATGCTTTCTAATGACAACGTGTGAGCTGGGTTTTGTTCTGGCTCTCCCATGATTTCCCAGCTTTTCCCCTCATCTGCCTCTGAGCTGCTACATCCCTCAACCCCCTGTTGTCAATTTATACTGTCTTCTTCTTCCTGCTCCCTAGAAGGGTCAGGATGAGGAGGTGGTCTCCACCATTCCTCCTCTGCCCAGTCCAGGACAATCAACATTTAAACATTTCAGTGTGGTATAGCATAATAATAATAATAATAATAATAATAATAATAATAATAATAATTTATTATTTATACCCCGCCCATCTGGCTGGGTTTCCCAAGCCACTCTGGGTGGCTCCCAACAGAATATTGAAAACACAATAAGACATCAAACATTAAAAACTTCCCTAAACAGGGTTGTCTTCTAAAAGTCAGATAGTTGCTTATTTCCTTGACATCTGATGGGAGGGCGTTCCACAGGGCGGGAGCCACCACCAAGAAGGCCCATGGTTATCGGAATGTGAATGTATGGTTATCGGAATGTGAATTTGACCTGGCAGGGCCCCCTGAGATACAGACTGGCAGGCCTGTGGATATCAACGGACAGACTGTGGGAAGGTTCTTTACGGAGGTGTGGAAATGGCGTCTGTCCTTTATGTGATATGGCTCTTGGAGAGTGTAAAATCCACACAGGATATGCTTGTTTTCAACCGGCTTGTGAAGATTATCGGAGATCACAAAGAAAGGAATATATGATAACAACAAGAAGATGAGGAAAATAACAAAAAGACTATCTGGACAGAACTGGACAGAACTGTGTAATTAAAGCAGCAGCAAGAGTGATGTTTGGATCCCTTTCGGAGCTCGAAGTATGGGTACCCCCAACAAAATTTTAAAAATTTGGCTGTATAATTTGGAACTAATGTGATTTGGAATTAATGTGATTTGATTGGCCTGTAAATAAAAATTATTTTTTTTAAAAAAAAGAAGGCCCTCTGCCTGGTTCTCTGTAACCTCACTTCTCACAGTGAGGGAACCGCTAGAAGGCCCTCGTAGGAGGTCCTCAGTGTCCGGGCAGAACGATGGGGGTGGAGACACTCCTTCAGGTATACTGGGCATAGTACAGTATAGTATCAAAATAATATTATTTTTTATTTGCAGAATATGTAGCTGTATGGTTTTATACTTTCTACATGTCCCATGATCATATTATAAAGTAGTTGTGTTCTGTGTTACAAACTGAGCATTGCTAGAGGCTGTTTCTGCTTGTTTTACAAGCATTTCTTATCGATAGAAATGTTGTTGCGTCATGAGCAAATTTTTATTCTCAAAGGGTGTACCCGGGGGGAAGGCTTGAGAACCGCTGGCCTAGGGACTCCCTGAGGGAGGGTATCCGATGGCCCCTGGGGAGCCCTGCTGCCCTCCCTCTCACCTGCCACCTGCAGCGTGACAGCCGCGCTGCTGTAGCCCTGGACTTTGACGAAGCACGTGAAGCTTCCCTCATCCGCAATCCGGACGCGCCGCAGCAGCAGAGAGACGTTGCCCCTGGGCAGCTGGTCGTAGAAGAGAGCCGTGCGGTTGGTGTAGCTCCTCCCTTGGTTGGCCAGTTGGTCCTGGCCTCCCGCAAAGCTGTGCACCAGCCGCTTGGTGTCCGTCAGCTGCCAGATGAGGCTGAGCTCGTCCAGGCTGAAGTTGGCGTCCGGGGAGAAGGAGCAGCACAAAGTCGCGTCGTGGCCAAAGAGGGTGACCACAGGATCGTCGGGGACCACGATTTCAACAGCTCCTGGTTGCGAGGAGGCAAGCGGGGAGAGAAGGCAAACAGCAGTGAGATTTCGTCAGCAAAAGGGAAGGTCACACAAACACCAAGCCGTAGAACAAGCCTCGTGCTCTCGCTCACGGCCTTGTCTCTTGGCTGAATTGCCTGTATTGGCTACGTCCTGGTTTGCGCAAACCACAGTATGCTGTTGGATGCCAACCACAGCTTGCACTCACTCCGCAAGCCAAAGTTGTACCTGAAGAAGCGTCTCTACCCCCATCATTCAGCCTGGACACTGAGGCCCAGCGCCGAGGGCCTTCTGGCAGTTCCCTCCCTGCAAGAAGTGACGTTACAGGGAACCAGGCTGAGGGCCTCTTGGTGGTGGTGCCCGCCCTGTGGAATGCCCTCCCATCAGATGTCAAGGAAATAAACAACTATCCTACTTTTAAAAGACATCTGAATGCAGCCCTGTTTAGGGAAGTTTTTAAGGTTTGATGTTTTACTGTGTTTTTAATATTCTGTTGGGAGCCACCCAGATGGGTGGGGTATAAATAAATTATTATTATTATTATTATTATTATTATCCTCACTTGGCAGGGTGAGGGGCAAAGGAGAGCAAAGGAGCCCAATCGCGCTCCTTCTGGGGTGGTTTGTCCACCTTTGCTCCCCCACCCTGCACTCAGCTCTTGCCTGTGGCTTCCAGAAGCTGTCAGCATGCGACAGCGGCCACAGCCAGGAAACGGCTTCGACTGGATGGCAAAATCAGCTAAGGGTGGCCAATGGGTCTCCAGCCCTTGGTGAGAGAGGGACTTCTTCTGAATGCGAAGACAGGCTCTAGTGCAGGCATACCCAAACTCAGCCCTGCAGATGTTTTGGGACTACAACTCCCATCATCCCTAGCTAACAGTACCAGTGGTCAGGGATGATGGGAATTGTAGTCCCAAAACATCTGGAGGGCTAAGTTTGGGGGTGCCTGCTCTAGTGGATTAAGCGGACAAGATCATTAGTGGGTCCAACGGTCAAGAAGGCAGTTTCTGCACATGCTGCAGGGGCAAGTGAGGGGCTGAACCTGGAAAGGTAGTCCATCTACGAGAAGGAAAACTCTGGTCCTAAACCTCCGCTGCTTTGTGAGATATATTCAGGAGAAGAAAAGGGTAAGGATTAAGACCTACACAAATCCATAGTGGAGTCTCTAAAACAGTTGGATGGTGCCTCGTACGCCTCCTTCCGGCAACTTCTGCAGCCAAACTGGTGCCAGATGCATTGCTCTGCATTCCTTTGGACCACACCAGTAAGCCCAAGAGGGGGTCTTATCATCTGGGCTTCCCAAACCTGCTTGCATTGATAATGAGCAAACAGTATGACCCTTTCAGCTCCAGAACACAGCACTGGGAGCAAAAGGAGCCAGGAGCCATGGCGGAGCACTGCTGCCCCCTGCTGTCCAGCAGGAGGTGTTGCAACTTTTTCCTGATTTTTTTTTTTTTTTAAACGAATCAGCATGGGGACTAGACAGACAATAGCATTAAAAGAGAGGATGTATCTGCCTTCTCTTTTCTGTACCAGATGGAGAGGAAGCCTGAATAAAGGACAGTGTCAGACAACAACTAAGGAATAGATATGCTGGGTCAGATGGAAGGCCTGTCCAAGTGCACCATCCCATTTCCCACAGGGGGCAGGCAGAGTCCTCTAGGAATCCCACCTTGTCCTCTATGCACACTCACACAGAGAAACTGGTGTTCAGTGGTACACTGCCTTTGAACACGGAGTCTCTATTCAGCCATCGCAGTTAAAAGCCATACACTGACTTAGAATCCTAGAATTGCAGACTTGAAAGAGACCCTGAGGGTCATCCAGTCCAACCCCCTGCAATGTAGGAACATGCAGCTGTCCTGTATGGGGATCGAACCTGCAATCTTGGCATTATCAGCACCATGTTCTAACCAACGGAGCTATCCTCTGGGAATTCATGTAATCGTGCCATCTAAGTAAAAGCACTGCAGCAGAGGCTAGGAACCTTTTTCAGGACAAAGAATGCATTTCTTTCTGGGCAACCTTTTGGGGGCCACATGCCGGGAGTGGGCAGGGCCGGAGGTGAAAGTGGGTGGAGCAAAGGATGTATACTTTACCTGTCAACCAGGATTGCCTAGACAATGGGCGATGGTTTTAATTGGACCTTAAATTATAACTTCTACAACAAAAAACAATTTGTAGAATTATTGGACTCCACTAGGTTTGTATAGAAAAACAGCATTTTATTGGAGCTGTAATAAGAATGCTTTTTTAAAACAGGTTTTTACAATGTCCTGCACTTACTAAGTCTTGGGAGAATGTAGTGGATTATATAAATATGACTGTGCGAAAAAGCTAATATTTTCAGAGGATATTCTTATTTTGAACTATATACCCTCTATATGGGATTTGACAACTGGACAACGTAAATGGATTCTCTGTGCCCTTACTACGGCCAAAAGACCGATATTGCTGCATTGGAGAGGGAAATGCACCTTGTGATAATTAATTCCATAGTTTAATCATGCACTGCGTGACCCAAAGCAGAGGTATGTTCTCCAGCAAAACTGGTAAGTTCAGAAGCAACTGCCTATGTAAAGGTAAAGGGACCCCTGACCGTTAGGGCCAGTCGTGACCAACTCTGGGGTTACGGTGCTCATCTCGCTTTATTGGCTGAGGGAGCCGGCATACAGCTTCCGGGCCATGTGGCCAGCATGACTAAGCCGCTTCTGGCAAACCAGAGCAGCGCACGGAAACGCCGTTTACCTTCCCACCAGAGCGGTACCTATTTATCTATTTGCACTTTTGTGCTTTCGAACTGCTAGGTTGGCAGGAGCTGGGACCGAACAACGGGAGCTTACCCCGTTGCAGGGATTCGAACCGCCAGCCTTCTGATCGGCAAGCCCTAGGCTCTGTGGTTTAACCCACAGCGCCACCCGCATCCCTTAACTGCCTATGTAAATACATCCAAATACAGAAATATTTCTCTAAGGAACCGTGATTGATTAATCTGAAATTACAGGGAACCCTTTCAGGTTGCCTGGTGAGCAGGATTGCGAGGAAGGAAGCACAGGCGTCTGACTAACCATAGTGCTTATTACTAAACAGGCTTGTTACTGTTTCTAAGCAATTCCGAGTTTGACTTCCCCCAGTCGCCTTATTATGTAGCGGGAAGAGAGGGAGACTGGAAGTTCCTCCATTCGCACACTAGATGTCACCCTTGCTCTGATTTTATGAATCCAGTCGCTGCAAAAGGAACCTGAGCAGTGCACTGTCTATCAAGATGCTGAGCATCATGAAAGAAAATGATGGGGAACAGTTCTCTATCTGAGGACTGAACCTCATTGCAGAGGACGGCTACTCCCGTGTGTGTGAATCCCGGACAGATCCCAAATTTACATAAAAACCCAGTCATACAGCTAACTGAATACCAGAAGCTGCCTTCTGCTGACTCAGACCATTGGTCCACCTGGTTCAGTGCTGCCTGCACGGACTGGCAGCATCTCTCCAGGGTTGTAGGAAGGCCATCTCCCCCAGCCCTATCTGGAGATCTCCAGGGATTGGACTAGGGGCCTTCATTAATGGAGCAGATCATTAAGCAAACAGTCTGTGAGCACCTAGAAAGGAATGCTGTGATCACCAATAGTCAGCATGGATTTCTGAAAAATAAGTCATGTCAGACTAACCTGATCTCGTTTTTTGACAGAATTACAAGCCTGGTAGATGAAGGGAACGCAGTGGATGTAGCCTACCTTGATTTCAGCAAGGCATTTGACAAGGTGCCTCATGATATTCTTGTAAAGAAGCTGGTAAAATGTGGTCTTGACTATGCTACCACTCAGTGGATTTGTAACTGGCTGACTGACCGAACCCAAAGGGTGCTCATCAATGGTTCCTCTTCATCCTGGAGAAGAGTGACTAGTGGGGTGCCACAGGGTTCTGTCTTGGGCCCGGTCTTATTCAACATCTTTATCAACGACTTGGATGATGGACTCAAGGGCATCCTGATCAAATTTGCAGATGACACCAAACTGGGAGGGGTGGCTAACACCCCAGAGGACAGGATCACACTTCAAAACGACCTTGACAGATTAGAGAACTGGGCCAAAACAAACAAGATGAATTTTAGCAGGGAGAAATGTAAAGTATTGCACTTGGGCAAAAAAATGAGAGGCACAAATACAAGATGGGGGACACCTGGCTTGAGAGCAGTACATGTGAAAAGGATCTAGGAGTCTTGGTTGACCACAAACTTGACATGAGCCAACAGTGTGACGCGGCAGCTAAAAAGCCAATGCAATTCTGGGCTGCATCAATAGGAGTATAGCATCTAGATCAAGGGAAGTAATAGTGCCACTGTATTCTGCTCTGGTCAGACCTCACCTGGAGTACTGTGTCCAGTTCTGGGCACCACAGTTCAAGAAGGACATTGACAAACTGGAACGTGTCCAGAGGAGGGCAACCAAAATGGTCAAAGGCCTGGAAACGATGCCTTATGAGGAACGGCTAAGGTAGCTGGGCATGTTTAGCCTGGAGAAGAGGAGGTTAAGGGGTGATATGATAGCCATGTTCAAATATATAAAAGGATGTCACATAGAGGAGGGAGAAAGGTTGTTTTCTGCTGCTCCAGAGAAGCGGACACGGAGCAATGGATCCAAACTACAAGAAAGAAGATTCCACCTAAACATTAGGAAGAACTTCCTGACAGTGAGAGCTGTTCGACAGTGGAATTTGCTGCCAAGGAGTGTGGTGGAGTCTCCTTCTTTGGAGGTCTTTAAGCAGAGGCTTGACAACCATATGTCAGGAGTGCTCTGATGGTGTTTCCTGCTTGGCAGGGAGTTGGACTCGATGGCCCTTGTGGTCTCTTCCAACTCTATGATTCTATGATTCTATGATTCTATGATTCTGCATACAAAGCAGATGATCTACCCCTGAGCGTCAGGGCTGGATCATCAGCAGGTCAGAAGGGAGAATCGGAGACTCGAAGAGTTTCCAGATTTTTTATTATTATTATTATTATAATAATAATAATAATAATAATAATAATAATAAATTTTATTTATACCCCGCCCTCCCCAGCCCAGACTGGGCTCAGGGCAGCTAACAACCAATAATAAAAACAAGTTGATTAAAATACAACTTAAAACATTAAGATGCAGCCTCTTCACAGGAGGAGAAAGGAAAAAAGAAAGAGGGGGAGGGAATCTAATTGTTTCCAAGCCAAAGGCCAGGCGGAACAACTCTGTCTTACAGGCCCTGCAGAAAGAAATCAGATCCCGCAGGGCCCTGGTCTCATGAGACAGAGCGTTCCACCAGGACGGAGCCAGTGCTGAAAAGGCCCTGGCTCTGGTTGAGGCTAATCTAATTTCCTTTGGGCCCGGGACCTCTAGGGTGTTGCTATTTATGGACCTTGAGGCTCTCCGTGGGGCATACCGGGAGAGGCAGTCCTGTAGGTACGAGGGTCCTAGGCCGTGAAGGGCTTTAAAGGTCAAAACCAGCGTACAAGCAGAGAGCATGCAGGGGACGTTGCCAAGTCTAGCTCTTGGCCCCTCCTGCTTCCGCCTAAAACTCTGCCTCCAGATGTCTCCCAAGGCAGCGTAAACTCCAGAAAGGAGGGCTCCCCCTTTGGCTTTCTGTTCAGCTACATGCAAAACCCTGTGTAATATTCCTTTGCAACCTGGAAATGGAGGAGAGTGAGGGATGGGCTGTTGCTGAGTGGTTAGAGCAGGGGTCCCCAAACTAAGGCCCATGGGCTGGATAAGGCCCGAGGGACTTGTTTATCTGGCCCGCGGCAAACCCCGCCTCCCGCTCTTACCGGCGCTGCACTGCGCAGCTGCCCACTTCTGGGTCCGAGGAGCACCGGAAATAGCTTGTGCGCATGCGCAAGCGTTATTTGCGCATGGTCAAATGTTCTTTCCAGTGCACATCTGGATTGGAGGAGGCCCATGCACATGCGCACAAGCTATTTCCAGTGCTCCTCCGACCCGGAAGTGCGCTGGAAATAGCGTGTGCGCACGCATATGGGCATGCGCTCCCCCGTCCTCCGGCCCACCGAGCGATCGGCGCTGGAGACACCGGCCTTTAGGTGCGGTAAGTTCGCTGACCCCTGGGGCAGAGCATCTCCTCTGCGTGCAGAAGGCTGCAACCCACACTTAGTACCTTTGCCTGGAGTTCCTCAGCCCTGAGTTAATGTATGAAGCTATTTTGCACTGAATCAGGCTCATGAGCCCCCCTCACCCAGTACAGTGGTACCTCGGTTCTCAGACTTAATCCGTTCCAGAAGTCTGTTCCAGAACCAAAGCGTTCCAAAACCAAGGCACACTTTCCCACAGAAAGCAATTCAAAATGGATTAATCCGTTCCAGACTTTTAAAAACAACCCCTAAAACAGCAATTTAACATGAATTTTACTATCTAATGAGACCATTGATCCATAAAATGAGAGCAATAATCAGTGTACTGCACTATAAAATAAATAAGAGAGTATTGTTGATGATAAAAAAAAAAAAATTCTTACCTGCACTGATGATGGTCATTGTTTGAATGGGGGGCTTTTATCCATTTCCACAGTCACACAATCAATCAATCAATCAATCAGTAGCTGAAGTGGGTTCCGCACAGTCACAAAAACAAATTAACCGAAAAAGCCTCAAAAACAAAAAGCAAAATAAATAGCAAAAACAAACGTGCCAAACTTAATCTGTTCTGGAAGTCTGCTTGACTTTCGAAATGTTTGAAAACCAAGGTGATTGGTGCAGGCGCCCCAGAAACAATAGCCGACAGCCACATCAGACGTTCGGCTTCCGAAAAACGTTTGAAAACTGGAACACTTATTTCCAGGTTTTCAGCGTTTGAGAACCAAGGTACCACTGTATTGTTTACTCTGACTGACAGCCATTGTCCAGGGTCTCAGATGGGAGACTCTCTCATCCCTGGCCACCTGTGAACCAGCGGACAAACCTAAGACTAAAGAGAGCAGGGCATGGTCAGGAAACCTCAATTTCCCCTCTCTTCCAGCCTGCAAAATCCTGCAAATATTTTGAAATACGTGTAAAGGTCTGGGTCTCACTCCCGAAAATCAGAGGCCCCTGAATCCAGGACAGAATCTTGCAGAGGCACAAACCACAAGCATCTCTACCCCTTACCAGCCAGTGCTGACAGCAGAAGACCAGCGATCCACAAGTGGAAGCACATCTTTCTTGCAATGTTTGCTCCCTTCGGGACGGAGCGTTGGGATGCAGTTTTAGTGAGAGCAAATCTTCACACCTTCCTAGGAGGAAAAAAAGGACCAAAAAAAATCAGCCATGAACTCCTCAAAAGACAATTCCATCTCTGGATTAGTCGGCTCCTGGGCAACCTGTCGCTCTGTGATGCAGCTGGACTCCAGCTCCCCAGAGTCCAAGCCAGCAGGTCCAATGGTCAAGGATGAGAGGAGTTGTAATCCAACAGCATATGGAGGGTCACAGCTTCACCACTCCTGAAATGATCACACATCCTGCCTCTGCTTATCCCTCTGCAGTCCCAATGACCCTTTCGGATTTTAGATTGGAATCTCTTTGGGGCAGGGAGCTTCTCTCTGTAAAGCAGGGCTGGGAAGCCGGTGGGCCTCCAGATACTGTCAGGATCTAACTCTCATCAGCTACAGCCAGCAGGGCCAATGGCCAGGGGTGGTGGAAGACGTGGTCTTGCAGCATCTCCAGCCCCACTGATGTTGCCAAGTCAGCATCACTATACAAAACAAGGACTCTGAAACAAAACAAAGTCTCTCTCTGCAAGACCCGTTGGCTGTGTCGGAGATTGCCAAAAGACCAGTAAGGCACACATTATTACTACTAATGGAATTTCTATCCTGCTTAATGCCAAAATAGGCTTTTAAATGGTTTACGGACTATACCAATGATAGAATCATAGAACTGCAGAGTTGCAAGTGTCAGTGTTTGTAAAAAGCAAAAGGGTTCTGACCTCTTTGTCGCCTCAGCCTGGTCCTCGGACCCTTGTCGGCATAAAAGAGACCACCAGAAGAGTATCCCTGCAGAGAACTTTCTGCTTTTATTCTTAAAAGTCTTTCTGCAAAAGCGACTGACCAACTGTACACACATCACCACTATCAGCTTTCACCAACCAACCAACCCAACCCAACATTTCTCACTCTATATATACAACCCGGTGCAGGCCGCTGACTCATGCTGACCCAGCTTTTTTAAGCATTAAAGAAACAGCGGCCATTTCAGCCGTGACAGGAAGGGACCCCAAGGGTCATCTAGTCCGACCCACTGCAAAGCAGGAATCACAACTAAGGAGGCCCTGATAGATGGCCAACGAACCTTCGGAAAGAGAGGCCACCACCTTCTGATATGGTGTCCTAAGACCCCTAGATCTAAATAAAATACATTTTCCCCTCCCCTGCACTATAAGCCTGCCTACGTTTTGAAAACAGACTACTTTCTTTGGTGTGCCTGTTTTCTTCATTCAGTTTCAGAATTTGTAAGCATGCGTGCTATTTCCTGAATTTCCGAGATAAATGGAAAGAATGATTCATTCTCTAGACCATGTTCCCACTTACATCTTGTATTTGCATTATGTTGTTAAGTTATATGGAATTGTTTACAACAGGCATGGCCAAAGCCCGTTATGGGGGCCTAATGAGGCCCCCGGGACAGTATATGTTCTGTAAAATTGTTTTTAAAAAGCTCAGCAACTTTGGGGTTAAATCCTTAAAAAAGCTCAACAACTTCTGGGTAAAATTGTAAAACTTGGGTCAGCCCTCACACATGTTCACGTCATCAAATCTGGCCCTCTTTGAAAAAAGTTTGGGCACCCCTGGTTTACAATGCTTGAGAATTCAACTCCAACATTGGGGGGGGGGGTAACTGTTAACTAACTTGGGCTTTTTAAAGCCCCAAAGTCGTTCCCTTCCCCCCCCCCATTCTACTAAAATAGTGCTTTAAATACCTGGCCATTATTTGGCAGACCTTGATGGGTCTAATACAGTGGTACCTCGGGTTACAGACGCTTCAGGTTACAGACTCCGCTAACCCAGAAATAGTACCTCAGGTTAAGAACGTTGCTTCAGGATGAGAACAGAAATCGTGTGGCGGCAGCAGGAGGCCCCATTAGCTAAAGTGGTACCTTGGGTTAATAATAATAATAATAATAATAATAATAATAATAATAATAAATTATTTATACCCTGCCCTTCCCGGTTCAGAAAACTGGGCTCAGAGCGGCTAACAACAAATTTAAAACACTTAATTGTGATACAACAAAAAACAGCATAAAATACAGTATAAAAGTGTGAATAACAATAAATTCAAAGTTCTAAAATCAATTTAGGAGGAAATCCATCCATAGTTTCAGGTTAAGAACGGACCTCCAGAACGAATTAAGTTCTTAACCCGAGGTACCACTGTACCCAGTTGTCACTGCAAATACTTTTTGAAAACAGTTGCAGGCATCCTATTCCTGGGGGCTCTGGAGACAGAAAAGTATGGAAGGAGCTACCAGCTCAGGAAGCAGCTGGGCTGGTCTTCCTCCCATTTGCTGTGGAGGTCTTTTCAAGGGGGGGGGGGCGGAGAGGATATTGTGGCAGCGGAGGAAGTATCCAAACAGTGAGGAGATTCATTTGTCTCACAATAAGTTGTGTGCCAGGCTTCCGCTTGCTGAAACTCAGCTGGGAATGTTCCCCCAGTTCTGTGCAATTTGCAAAGGATGCTCAGTGTGCTTGACCGAAAGGACTGTTTTAATGTGCATTTTATTATCGGTTTATTTGTTGCATTTATAGCCCAACTTTTTTCCTCCAAGGTGCTCAAAGTGTCATACCTGGGTTGGTGGAAGAAGATTGGAAGAAATTTAAAGACTATTTACAGAAATATTGCAAAATTAATGAATGTTAGAATGATGTTGCATTGAAGTTAAGTGGTTTCTAGCTGTAATGGTAAAAGAATATGGAAAAACTGGATTTTCAATAGGTCAAAACTTAATGCTATAATATATTAAGATTAAAGATTAGGATAAAATAAGGAGGGAAAGGAATTGCTGAACTAATAAATTGAACTGGAATACAAAAAAGGGAGGCATGAGGAGGTCCGGGAAACAAGTAAATGAAAGATAAGTGATGAAAAGATGGAATTGGTTTTAATTGGGTTTTTTTGTATTTTGTATTTTTCTTTTCTCTATTTTTCTTTTTCTTATCAATGTAACCTTTTTTTGAAACTTTAATAAATATCATTTTAAAAAAACAAAAAAAACAAGGTGTCATACCTGCCCCCCCCTTCCTCATGACAAACCTGTGAGGTAGGGTAGGCTGAGAGGCAATGACTAGCCCAAGGACACCCAGTCAGCTTCATAATGAGTGGGGATATGAACCCTGGTCTCCCAGGTCCTAGTCTGATGCTTTAATAACCATTATATCACACTAGAAAGCAATGACAAACCTAGACAGCATCTTAAAAAGCAGAGACATCACCTTGCCGACAAAGGTCCGTATAGTTAAAGCCATGGTTTTCCCAGTAGTGATGTATGGAAGTGAGAGCTGGACCATCAAGAAGGCTGATCGCCAAGAATTGATGCTTTTGAATTATGGTGCTGGAGGAGACTCTTGAGAGTCCCATGGACTGCAAGAAGATCCAACCTATCCATTCTGAAGGAAATCAGCCCTGAGTACTCACTGGAAGGACAGATCCTGAAGCTGAGACTCCAATACTTTGGCCACCTCATCAGAAGAAAAGGCTCCCTGGAAAAGACCCTGATGTTGGGAAAGATGGAAGGCACAAGGAGAAGGGGACGACAGAGGATGAGATGGTTGGACAGTGTTCTCGAAGCTACCAGCATGAGTTTGACTAAACTGCGGGAGGCAGTGGAAGACAGAAGTACCTGGCACGCTCTAGTCCATGGGGTCACGAAGAGTCGGACACGACTAAACAACAACAATATCACACTAGTTCTATGGATGTTTACGGTGCAATGCTTTTTTGTATTGACTGAAACCAGAACAACATTTTTGGCAATGCGTTCATCTTAATTGCTGCAATTCTTCCTAATAATTATAAATTCATTCTACCCCATATCTCTAGATTCCTTTTTATTTCGTTCCAAATCTTTTCATAATTGTCTTTGAAAATATTAATATCCTCGGTTGTAAGCCAAATTCCTAGATATTTAACTTTCTTATGAATCTCTATTTCTATGGTCTGATATAGTTCTGTTTTGTCTGGTTCTGGTAAATTTTTAACTAACAGCTTGGTCTTATTTTTAATTAATTTAAAGCTTGCAATTTGCCCAAATATTGTAATGCTTTTTTGTAAAACGCTAATCAAATTTGTGGGTGGCACCAAACTGGGAAAGGATTCAAGACCACCTTAACAGAATGGAGAACTGAGGCCCAAACTAACAAAATGAATTTCAGTCGGGACAAAGGTTATACTTACAAAGGAAAAATCAGATGCACAAATATAGGATGAGGAAATCCTGGCTTGACAGTAAGGTAAAGGTAAAAGGACCCCTAACCAATAGGTCCAGTCGTGGCCGACTCTGGGGTTGCGGCACTCATCTTGCTTTATTGGCCGAGGGAGCCGGCGTACAGCTTCCTGGTCATGTGGCCAGCATGACTAAGTCGCTTCTGGCGAACCAGAGCAGTGCACGGAAACGGCGTATACCTTCCTGCCGGAGTGGTACCTATTTATCTACTTGCACTTTGACATGCTTTCGAACTGCTAGATTGGCAGGAGCAGGGACCGAGCAACGGGAGCTCACCCTGTTGCGGGGATTCAAACCACCGACCTTCTGATCGGCAAGTCCTAGGCTCTGTGGTTTAACCCACAGCGCCACCCGTGTCCCTTGGCTTGACAGTAGTGCATGTGAAAAGGTTCTAGGGGTCTAATCAACAGAAGTCTAGTATCCAGATCAAGGGATTTACATAGTACCCATCTATCCCATCTTGGTCAGACCACACCTGGAGTCCTGTGTCCAGTTCTGGGTGCCACAATCCAAGAAGGTTATTGACAAGCCGGAATATTTACATTTGGAGGATGGCCAGGATTATCAAGGGTCTGGAAACCAAGCCTTATGAGAAATTGGTTGAAGAAGTTGGGTATGTTTACCCTGGAAAAAAGAAGACCAAGAGGAGATCTGATAGCCAAATATCTAAAAGGCTGTCATGTGGAAAAGCAGGCTTGTTTTCTCCTGCTCTGGAGGCTAGGACCTGAATCTATGGACTCAAATTACAAAAAGGAGATTCTGACTAAACACCAGAAACAACTTTCTGACAGTAAGAGCTGTTTGAGAGTGGAACGGTCTCCCTTGGGAGGTTGTGGACTCTCCTTCCTTGGGGTTTATAAACTGAGATTGTATGGCTATCTGTCAGGGACTCTTTAGTTGTGATTTCTGTTGGGGTCATTCCAGTTCTACAATTCTGTGATTCTGTGGCTAAACCACAGACCAGTTCGTGGGCCTGCAGCCACACAAATGCTACCATCATACAGGATGACAGTTTCTTTTTTTCTGTAATGTCTCAGGGCACTCCCACGGTGGTTCACAGAACAAAATCAAAATATAAAACCACAAAATATATCATCAATATAAAAGCAACAACCCCTCCCAAAAAAGCCCCACATTTTAAAAGGGCATAGGATGTCTATCAAATTTAGCTGCTTTAGCCCTGAGCCACAACAAACAGAATAAAAATCAGAAACAGAATACATACCGTAACAGAAACCTTAAAACATTTTTTTTTCTTTTTTAGATGTATTTCCAATACAGAAAATCCCAAGTTTATTCTCTGGGTTGATCCAGATGGCAAATCAAGAGTATGGCTTTCATTAAACATCTATGCCAGAAATTGTGGGAGCTGTTGTCTCAATTAGCATACTTGTTGTCATTCAACCAATAAATCATTAATTTACTTGCTAATACAAACCAGTAATCAGGGCTATGCAAACATGCACATTAACAGGACATAAAAAAGAAGAAGTAATGTGTTAGGTTGTGGGTGAATATATCAGACGACACAGCGATTCTTCAAACAGCTCTTATTTATTCACAGGCCAGGACAGAACTGAACTGAAGGGCTCAGTCAGCCTGCTTATATAGAGCTCCAGTACCACGTTACTGTAACAACTTTCTAAAACTATCCAATCACTGAACGTCACTTTCGATCCTTCATTTGCATAACTATCTACAGTATCCCCCTGCTGGCCCAGGGTGAGAACTTCAGTACATAACATAATGCATCAGACAAAATTTTTCATCTTAAGCAGACCCAGATGTATGCAAGTTTAAATTACAATGTATATTCTGGTAACCTCCCCTCAAGAAATGTAGATGGTATTATGTTAAAACCTAAGAAAGGTGGTCAGTGTTGCTTTCAGCCCAAGAGCCCATATTGCTAACTTTCACACAGTCAACTGGAAACAGAATTAACACAGCAGATCCTCATAACACTTAATATAGCTACAATCTCCATGACTGCTCACCTCCATGCCAAGATCCGCCATGATGTTGACTTTGAGGCAAATTCCATTCAAAGGTCTCCTACACCATTAATTATAAGCTTCCTCCTTGAGATTATTCTGCCATGAAAGATCTTCTGCACTATTAATTAGAAACTTCCTCCATGAGTTTATTCTGTCACTAACTGTGTCCTCTTCAGAGCAGCAATGGTATTACCGATTAATTGCCTCTTAATTGGGCAGTTCCTATTCCCCTTGGAAGGGGGACTTTAATTACTGATTTTCTCTGATTTGTATCTAAACATTTCTCTCTGTGTGTGTTTTCAATAAAAAGGAAAGCGGAGCAAATGCAAATGAAGCAGGCCATTAAAGCCTCCACCCCAGAGAACAGGAAATGTCTTATTAAGAGACTTATTCACATAAGAAATGTGAAATATAAACGTGCTAAATAACCAAGAGTGACCAAACAGATTCAATTCCCAAAGTGGTTTAACAACCAGTCTCTCTTCACAAGCAACTCTGGAATTATAGCTCTGTGAGGAGGGTCTCCTAACCACTCTCAGCACCTTTAACAAACTACAGCTCCCAGGATTCTTTGGGGAAAGCCATGGTTCTGTAATGTATGTTTCCAGGCACAATTCAAAGTGTTGGTGCTGATGTTTAAAGCCCTCAACAGCCTCAGCCCTGTATACATTGAAGGAGCGTCTCCACACCCATCATTCAGCCCAGATACTGAGGTCCAGCACTGAGGGCCTTCTGGCAGTTCCTTCACTGTGAGGTTACAGGGAACCAGGCAGAGGGCCTTCTCGGTAGTGGCACCCACCTTGTGGAACGCCTTCCCATCAGATGTCAAGGACATAAGTAACTATACAACCTTTAGAAGACATCTGAAAGCAGCCCTGTGCAGTGGTACCTTGGTTCTCGAACTCAATCCATTCTGGAAGTCCTTTCGACTTCCAAAACGTTCAAAAACCAAGGCACGGCTTCTGATTGGCTGATTGGCCCCGGGAAAAATGCTGACAGCCGAAACGGATGTTTGGCTTCTGAAAAACGTTTGCAAACCGGAACACTTACTTCCAGGTTTGCGGCGTTTGGGAGACGATTCAGGAACCAAGGTTCCACTGTATAGGGAAGCTTTTAATGTTTTTATGTTTTGTTTTGTTCCTTTATGTTTTGTGGGAAGCCGCCCAGAGTGGCTGGGGTAGCCTAGTCAGATGAGCAGGGTATATATAAAAAGAATGGTGGTTGAGGAGTTTAGTTAGTTTGGGGGCAGCTTGTATGCAAAACCCTCAGCGGGTAGGTCAAAAACTTGGTCTAGGTGTCCCCTTACTGTTTCAAACATGCCTGGGAGGATCCCTTAGACCAGGGGTCAGCAAACTTTTCCAGCAGGGGGCCGGTCCACTGTCCCTCAGACCTTGTGTGGGGCTGGACTATATTTTTGGGGGGTGAATGAATGAATTCCTATGCCCCACAAATAACCCAGAGATGCATTTTAAATAAAAGCACGCATTCTACTTATGTAAAAACATGCTGATTCATGGACTGTCTGCGGGCCAGATTGAGAAGGCGATTGGGCTGGATCTGGCCCCCGGGCCTTAGTTTGCCTAGCCACGCCTTAGACATTCTACAAAACACGGACAACTATCAAAGACTTGCCTAATTCTAGCCACTGCCCTTTCCCCACAGATTCCTGGCACTCTAATTATCATTCTCATTGTGGCGTGTGTATTTATTTTTATATAAACCCTGGAACTATCTATTTATAAAAGCTTGTCTGTGTTTGTATTTTAAGCCATATGATGATGCAGCCTCTTCCTCCACGTGTTCTCCTGGTTTTGCCTTTCCTCGCCAACACACCACTGTAATTGTCAAGTCTGAAATGCTTGAGGGTTCCTGGATGAAGTCATCTCCATGCCCCCAACACACTAGACATGTAGCTCTACCGACAACACAACCAGAAGGCTAAGGAAAGGGCAGCAAGCTCTTCTAAAAAGGTAAAGGTAAAGGGACCCCTGACCATTAGGTCCAGTCGTGACCGACTCTGGGGTTGCGGTGCTCATCTCGCTTTATTGGCCAAGGGAGCCGGCGTACAGCTTCCAGGTCATGTGGCCAGCATGACTAAGCCGCTTCTGGCGAACCAGAGCAGCGCACGGAAACACCGTTTACCTTCCTGCCTATTTATCTACTTGCACTTTGACGTGCTTTCGAACTGCTAGGTTGGCAGGAGCAGGGACTGAGCAACGGAAGCTCACCCCGTTGTGGGGATTCGAACCGCCGACCTTCTGATCGGCAAGCCCTAGGCTCTGTGGTTTAACCCACAGTGCAACCCGTGTCCCAAGCTCTCCTAGAACTGGTCATAAAGCAGAGGGGTGTGAGGAATTCAATTCAGCTATATAAAATTATAAGACAGCATATTACCTAACTCCAAGAACTGGTCTTCAGTTTTTTGGTTTTTTTAGAGGAAGAAGTTATTGGCGGAGGCTTCTACTGAAAGCTACAAGGAGAGATCGAATTTGTGCGTGTGTGCTTGAGATCCTCCAGGGAAACAAATAGGGATGCAACCTATTGGAAAAGTCACGTATCAATTTTGCCTTGAAAATGTGAGAAAATGACAGGGCACAGAAGCAGCTGAAGGAAAAGACAATTGCTGGGCTCTTCAGGGGCATTAGCCCAAGGACCCGAATGATACCTACGCTGGTTGTGAGTTTGTTACTTGTTTAGTGGTGTCCTACTCTTCGTGTCCCCATGGACCAGAGCACGCCAGGCACTTCTGTCTTCCACTGCCTCCCACAGTTTGGTCAAACTCATGCTGATAGCTTCGAGAACACTGTCCAACCATCTCATCCTCTGTCATCCCCTTCTCCTTGTGCCCTCCATCTTTCCCAACATCAGGGTCTTTCCCAGGGAGTCTTCTCTTCTCATGAGGTGGCCAAAGTACTGGAGCCTCAGCTTCACAATCTGTCCTTCCAGTGAGCACTCAGAGCCGATTTCCTTAAGAATGGAGAGGTTTGATCTTCTTGCAGTCCATGGGACTCTCAAGAGTCTCCTCCAGACCATAATTCAAAAGCACCAATTCTTGTGAGTTTGTTACTGGGCTTTGCTAAATTGAATAGGGCCCTAAATTGAGATTGGCTGGACTCCGGTTCCCATCTATCCCAGGCAGCATGGCCAATGGTCTGAGATGATGGCAGCACTAGCTCAACAACATCTGGAGAGGCACAAGTTCCCCACCTCTAAAGAACAAGTGATCTCTTTGAAGCTATCCTCCCAAGTGTCCCTTCTCAAAAAGAGGGAGGACGCCCTACCAAGCCAGCTATATTTTTGTCATTGCCCACCCAGCTGTGTTCCACTCAGCTGAGGAAGTGCCTTCAAACTTCCTTCACTCCTTCCCTTCATGCAGGTGGCAGAAGTTCTGTTTCTTTCAGCAGACAGGGAGATTGACGTGAGAAAGAAACGAGGCAGGAAGCCGCAGCAGCACTACTGAAATCAAATGGAAGTCCACTGTGCTGCAACAATCCTGTTGCAGACACAGATCTTCTTGGGAGTAGCAGAAGATGGGTTTTGCATGCAAAAGGTTCCAGGATCAATGCCTCACATCTCCAGCCACAGATGGGGAAAACTCTATAGAGCCTGAAACTCAATACAGCCACTGGTGGGAATACATTTGTAGCATGGGAGCTGTGTTGCCTTCTGGGTAAACTTCCAGGGTTCAATGGTAGGCAAGGCCAAAGGCAAAAGTGCATGGAGCAACAGATTAAACCTCTGTACAGTTCTACACACACCTCTGTCCTTCATCCAGACAAGCAAAGAGGCATCTGTCATGGATGCTTTAGCTGAGGGGTTTGACTAGATGACCTTACGGAGTCCCTTAGGGAGTCCCTTATTCTATTATCAGCAGGGTGGATAAAAATCAATGATTTTTTTTATTTAAATCGGATTTTTAAAATAAAATGCTTTTAGAGGAAAAAATCTTTTTAAACATAGTTTTCTATTTAAGAATAGTCCAAAGGCTATTCATCAGGAAATAAGTTTTTCATGTGTGCTGAAACTCAGTCTAAGTTGGTTTTTAAGGAAATTGTTACTCAGGAAATGATTACCGTATTTTTCGCCCTATAGGACGCACTTGTGCGTCCTATGGGGCGAATACAGGCTTTTGCTGAAGCTTGGAGAGTGAGAGGGTCGGTGCGCACCGACCCCTCTCACTCTCCAGGCTTCAGGAAGCTATCAGCAAGCCTGGGGAGCCCTGCGGGAACTCCCACAGGGCTCCCCACGCTGCGGATAGCAGCCTGCCGCCCGGCGCGCAGGATACCCTGAAGCAGAGCGCCCCGCGCGCCAGGCAGATATCCACAGCCTGGGGAGCCCTGCGGGAGTTCCCGCAGGGCTCCCTAGGCTGCAGATAGCAGCCTGCTGCACAGAGCGCCCCGCGCTTTGGGCAGACATCGGCCAGCCCCACAAGCTCGGGGGACAGCGGGGAGATGCAGCGCCGCCATCCCGCTGTTCCCCGACCTGGTTTGGGGGGGGGGAAATAAAGGGGGGGGAATTTCCTTTATTTCCTCCCCAAAAAACTAGGTGCGTCCTATGGGACGGAGCGTCCTATGGGACGAAAAATACGGTATTTTTCTCCTTCCAATAAAGTACAACAGAAAAGTTGTCCAAATATAAACAGTTAACTTCTTAAACCTCACAATAATTTCATAATTATCTATGTATTTCTAATAGTATAACCAAATCAGTAATTTTTTATATAACTGGGGGGAAAAACTACTTTGAAAATTTATTATTCCAAAAATGAAACCTTCATATGGTTGTAAATATTAAGATTGTACCAACAGGAATGTCTTTCTGTAAAAAAATTAAAATAAATTTTAAAAAATGATTTAGATCAAGTCTTACTGACTAGTGATTTAAATCATTATTTAAACAGTGATTTAAATCAAATCCACCCTGATTATCAGAGTTCATGGATACATTCCAGCCAGGCCATCCACAGACAGAGAACCTCTTGGGGTGCAAAATTTCTCAAGGTGAAATGTGTATCCTAGGAAGAAGGGGTGTGGCCCTAATCAGAGGTCCAGATAGAGAAGATTGTGGGGGGGGGGGTGAATTTGGCCTAATGTTCTTAAGCCCTGGTGTGGAGTAGATGGGCCAGAGGTCTGACTTCGTATAAGGCATTTTATGAAAGTGGGAGGGGAGACTGTTTCTAGAGCATCCACAATTTAATGTTGACTTGCCCTGAGCATCAGTCATCCTGGAACACCACGACTCTGGCTGAAAGCCCAGGGCCACAATTAAAACTTCCCAGCACTCTTGCAACCATCTACATCTTCCAGGCAACACTACACTCTCGAGGCCCGATTCTCCAAAATACTAAAGAAATATGATGCTTCTATCAGTAATTGAATGGGGGGAAGGGTGTTCATCACTGTAACCAAGTGAAGAGCTGGTTGCTCTCCTCTGTAGGCTGGACTGGGGGGGGTCGCAAACCGGCTCTTGTGGTTCCCAACAGTACAGCCTCTTGCATTAACCAGCAACAGAGCACTTAAATCCATTGGGCAGCATCTAAAACATCTCCCAAAGTGGTACCCAGTTCTTCAGATCTGTTGTCTGCAGCATTGTCAACATCACGCTCATCAATACTTGCTAGCCCACGGTTCCCCCTTCAGGTATCTTCAGATGTTTCCAACTGCAAATCCCATCATCCTCGACCAGTGATCTTGTTGGCTGGGTCTGATGGAAGTCCAACAATACTTGGGAGGTACCAGAATGGGGAAGAATGAGCTAGCCACTACGCAACACTGACTCTGTTTCAGATGTGGGAAGCATATTTATTCCTCTTCGACAGCGTTTCATGTCCATCTTTGGATAGACATCTCTTCAAATTCTCTCCAGCGTTCTCTGTTGTTTGCTTGATGCAAACAAGTGGGGCCCGCCCTGTGGAACACCCTCCCATCAGATGTCAAGAAAATAAACAACTATCTGACTTTTAGAAGACATCCTAAGGCAGCCCTGCTTAGCGAAGATTTTAATGTCTGATGTTTTATTGTGCTTTTAATTCTGTTGGGAGCCACCCAGAGTGACTGGGGAAACCCAGCCAAGTGGGCAGGGTATAAATAATATTTATTTATTTATTTATTTATTTATTTATTTATTTTTATTAATCCACCCATTGCACAGGTGGTCACCCCCTTGGCCTTTTAAAATTGTAGGGTCTCCAAACTAGCATTTAATCCTAATGTGCTTACTTTGTTGTCCTATATATGCCATGCCCTGTATTGGTTAGCAACATCTTCTCCATGTTTTGGCCAAAGCAAGTCTTTCACAACACCTGGACTTTCTTCTTGGAGTTGAGGAAACGGATTTAACCTAGGACTGCATGTGAAGCGGGTGCTCAGATACTGAGCTCAAAGTCCTTCCCTACACCTAAAATGATGGCTGCCATTCTGCATGGCCATAGCAAGAAGAAAAAATAGGAAGCTCACTCAACCAAGTAGGCTAGGGGGCCAATTCCATTGGGGCTTCTCTTCATCCTGAACTGTTCCATCCAAGCTGGCTTTTTATAAGAACTGCCACGTAATAATTGCCACTGGAGTTTGTTCATCTTCCTCTTCCCTCCCCATCCCCTTTTTCTTTTGTGTTGCATCTTTTAGACTGCTAACATATGGGCAAAAAAAGCTTGTATGTTACTGATCTTCTGCAAGCCACTCTGGGAGCCTTTTCAGCTGAAGAGTGGGGTGAAAATGCTCTATATACGCAAAAATCAATAACTTGAAATCAGCAGAAATTACTGAGACACAATTATGTATAGGGCTGCAGCTTTAATTTGCATGCTTTGTTGGGGTTGCAAAAATAAGTACGCACAGTTTAGGGGCGTGTGTGGCTGTTGGGATTAATGTCAAAAAGGTTTTAAAGCGGCTGTTTCCAAACTGTGGTCCATAGCATTTCTGTGGATTTGTGATTAATATTCATGCTGATTTTTAATTGTATTCTTATTGCTTCTTTTGTTTCCTATACAGTGGTACCTCGGGTTAAGTACTCAATTCATTCTGGAGGTCCGTTCTTAACCTGAAACTGTTTTTAACCTGAAGCACCACTTTAACTAATGGGGCCTCCCCCTGCTGCGTGATTTCTATTCTCATCCTGAAGCAAAGTTCTTAACCCGAGGTACTATTTCTGGGTTAGCCAGAGTCTGTAACCTGAAGCGTCTGTAACCTGAAGCGTATGTAACCCGAGGTACCACTGTACTGTATTTTTATTGTACTGTGATCCAAATTCTCTGGAATTCAAAATAAAAGAAGCAAACTTAATACAATTTTTAAAAATCCCACACCATCTAGCAGAGCACATTACAATTGCTGCTACAACAGGCAGAAAAACCGTTTAGCAATTTTCAAGCGGCAACTGGAAAAATGAAAGCTTGGGAACAACTGATGAGCAGTTGTTTAGTCATCCCCAAGAAGTGATGACATACTTGTTTCAGATCCTCAAACTGGGGATGGGGAAGAACTTGGCAAATGCCATACAGCAGGCACGTCCAACTTTCAAGAGACTGCGATCTACTCCCACTATAAAAAAAACTGGCAGTGATCTACCCATTGGATTGACAAGAGTTGTTGAGCTTTTTTGGAGAGAAGCTTCATCAAAGTTGTTGAGCGATCGACCGGTATCAACCAGCGACACCCCATGATCGACCAGTAGATCACGATTGACCGGTTGGACATCCCTGCCATACAGAAACAAATAATGCCAGTTTCAAAAGTCCTAAGAGCGACAGCAATGCTTCCCAAACTTGAGGTAATTACGTACGTCTTTTGAAAGTTTAGTCTTACCTGTATACGCCTTCTCAAGCAAAGATAATTTGGGGGTAGTTTTAATGACACTATTTTATCTAGACTAGGGCAAATACCCTGTACCATTTAAAACCCTTTTGCATACACTTGGGGGCATCCGTACCACAATTTAGGAAACACTTGGGCTACATGATTGCAGGGTCCCCACCCCACCAAAAAGAAAAATGTTCAGGTTGCACAATTGGAGCTCTTGCACAACAAACCTTCTTCCATATATATATATATATATATATTCAGACCTTCTGTGATAAGGGAAGTGACGAGATGGGGGGATGCTCTGGGAAGCATGAGATTACTATTGCATGATAGAATGTCATCTAACTTCCCCATCAGTCAGCAAACCTCATCCGGAAGGACTCATAGTTCAAACACAAAACCACAAATCCATATTTCGACCAACACTGCCACCATTTCTTTTCAGTCAATCCCTGTGTGCCACAGGTCCATTTTATTTTGTTAAAAAATAATTGATCAGAGCAGCAATGCTGGCAAAGAGATAGATCTTTCTTGATCTAAAGCACCACTCACCCACAAGGGAAGGGTGGCTGAACAATACAGCGACTTTACTCAGAAGTAGACCCAACTGTATCCTACAGAGTTAACTTAAGAAGGCATAGGAGTGCCCTCTGTATTGGCCATTCTCTCCCCCCTCTTCCAATTCAATCTTTATTGGTTTATAAACAATACAACCAATCACATTGAAACCCATAAAGCACTACAAACAAACCACTATGTATTGGCCAATCTCAACTGTTGGCCAGAAGATACAAAAAAGTTGAGGCGGAACAGTCCTGTATTGTTATCAACACAGAAGAAGCAAAATATTTAAGGACATTGACAGATCCTGTCTCAGAGTTCTCCTTTTTTAAAGAGGTATCCTAAGCAGCTGGCAAATGGCATATATAACATAATCTGGCTGGCATCCCATCTAAGACCTGCCTAAAGTAGACCTATTGAAATCAAGGAACCTAACTTTGCCAGGTTCCTTCACTTCAATGAGTATGCTCTGGGTATGGGTAACATTGTACACCCCCCCTCTCTCTGAGCCAATTCCTTGCGGCCGAAGTTCCTTTGCCCCCCCCCCAATAAAATATTTGAGGGGGGTCTCCCCCAAGTTAATGGACACTGCCATTCCAATGGGAGTGTGCGCCTTGTAATCGATTACAATATGTGGGGCAGGGCTTCTCTTCTCTCCCCCTCCCCAATATTTTATTCGAGTTGGCACCCCTGTGGGTCACACTGGAGAGAGAGAAAGAAAGAGAGAGAGAATCTTTGAAAGCATTTTAAAAAGGCAACTCAGTGCAAGAGCGCGCGCGCGTCCAAGTGAGGACGCCCAGAAAAAACGAAAAGTTTTGCAGGAATCCAAGATCCTTTTGGCAACGCTTTTGGAGGAAGGGAAGAGGGGCCGAAAGAAGGAAAGAAAGGCGGATTGTCTGCCTCTTTTCGCCTGGGTGTTGCTCCCTCTCTCTCCCCCCATTCAGCCCAACAGCCAAGCAGGCACTTACTCGGCCAGAGTCCGTCCTTCCCGGGAGCGACTCCGCTTTCGGACAAAGGCGCGCCGTTTCTCCGGCTCGCCCTGGGTTCTGCTGCGCCCTAGGCGCAGGGCGGGTCTCGCCGCCGGCCCGGGACCGTCTTCCTACCCGGCCCGCCCCAGCACCCGTCGCCCCCAGCTCCCTCCGGCGGGCAGAGGTCGGTGCGCGGCTCCCGGGCGGGGGAAGGAGGAGGAGGAGGAGGCCGCGGGAGCGAGCCTGGGCAGGGAGAGGCGGGGAGAGGAGCGCGAGCCCCCCTGGCTTCCGGGTTGATTCGGGGCCGGAGCGCCATGTGGCTGCCGCCGTGCGAATGGAATCGGGGAATCCCATTATGGGAAGGGGTTCCGGGGGGTCATCTAGTCCAACCGGCTGCAAGGCTGGAAGATGCCACGGAGTGTCCAGTGCCAGATTTACGTGTAAGCTAAACAAGCTATAGCTTAGGGCCCCACTCTCTTGGCAAACCCCCAAAAAAATTTACAGGGGGAAAAAACTGGATGTGCATTTCCAAAATGTAAGATTAAAATAAAATAAAATAAAACCTACATACAGCAACAGTGTTTTGTGTTGTAGGCTCCTATGATGTCAGTCATGGGTCCCGCCTGCTCCCTAAAATATCACTGGTTTGCTCATTTCAATATACAGAGTGCCTACATTCTGCATGTGCAAATGGCTTTAGATACCTATTAGGTCCGTAAATTGACATATAGCATATATTCAACACAAAAAACAGCGACAATTTGTTGTTGACAAAGGACAGCTGGACATATAAAGGGCCCCATTATCTTCAGGAGCTTAGGGCCTCATCACACCTAAATCTGGCCCTGGTGGTGCCCCGTGATAGGGCAACTGGAATGATGTCTTCTTCTTTTTTGTATATAATTTTTATTAAGTTTTCTGTTTTACAATTTAAAATGCTGTACTCATTTTTACATTCTTAAAATATCCATGACTTCCCCTCTTCTCTTTCCGTGGTTCATTTTACATATCATAAATCCCTGCATATTTTACAGAAACTCTACCATTCAGCGTTCCATTATTTACATCCATCAAAACTTATTTACACTGTTGAATTTATCTTAATGCTGCCAGCGTTTTCAGCTGCACACAGTTAATTCCCATATATTCAGTAAACATTTTCCAATCTTCTCTAATCATATGTTCTCCTTGTTCTCTTATTCTGTATGTTAAGTCTGCAAGCTGCGCATATTCTGTCATCTTAAGTTGCCATTCTTCTTTGGCTCGGACCTGGCTCGTTTTCCATTTTGAGCTAACAAAACATGGGACACAGTAGTGGCGTACATAAATAACCTTTTTTGACACCTTCGGATTTCAGTCTGAATTATCCCCGACAGAAAGGACTCTGGTTTTTTAGGGAAAGTACTTTTAAACATTTTTTCCAATTCATTATGGATCATTTCCCAATACTCCTTTACCCTTTTACAAGTCCACCACATATGAAAGAACATTCCCTCAACCACATGGAGTTTTATCTTCCACATGGAACTCGCAGCCCAATAGCTGTGTACATTCGTCTGCCATTGGCTATTTCTTGTTAAATGTGCATTTATTGATTTGCGCTTCCTCTTTGATAGTTCGCAATTGATTCGATTGTGCATTTCATGATTCGAGAGTTTGTAATTTATGGTATGAGTGCATTCCTTCTGAAAGGAAAATGAGCGTATATGCCCTGATAAGGAAAAAACCTGGGGTGTGAATTTCCTCCGCTGCCCAGCTTGTCGGGGTGCCACCACTGCGGGTGTCTCCGGTCAGCAAAAGAAGGTGTCTCCAGCCAAGTCAAAGAAGCAAAACAGCGGTCAGTAGACCTGATCTTTATTTGTTGCAACAGAGTTCAAACACACAGAGTAGGAACCCCGATCATGGGGTTGCATGAACTTTTAAGACTTCTCCCCATTTCCCATAATACATTTTCCAACAGCATCATCGATACATCACAAATATGTCACAAAGTAGGAGTGTTTGGCATGTAGAAACATGAGACCATCACCCACCCCTGTCAATTAGCCCAGGTCCCAACACCTTTTAAGTACCCTCTTCCCCAAAGAACAATAAATGTGTTTACACATGCCCCCTAGCTGCAAGGCTTTCAGGATTCAATCCACCATCCTGTCCCAGATTTCTGTCTCGGTTATGTGCTTTCTGCCTCCTATTGTGAGGCTAAGGTTGCACTTTATGGAAGGGCAAGGAGTATGTGACCTTATGCCTAAGGGATTATGGAGGCAGGGGGAGCCCTGGATTCCCCTTTTCCAGAGGAGTCATTAGCCATTGGAACCAAGGAAATCAGCCAAGCCGTTGAATTTTGGTGATTATTTGTGAAGTTTCCACAGTTTTCTGTATTGGATTGTCAGAGGAAACAGTATGATACATGGTATCCACTCAATGCTACAAGGTTAAACATGTTTGCCCTGAAGAAAATGCATGTGATTTTGCTGGAATTCAAAATGGTGCCAAAAAAATCAGGCAAAGTCACACCATAGTGATGCTTGAGTCTGCCATCTTAATTCAAAATGGTGGCTGGTGTCCAAACGATGACAAAGCCTGCCACACCCACATTGGGAACCCTTCAGAGGAGGCTGAACCTATCAGGAGCAAATGTACAAACCATTTCTCAAAATGTATAGTAGACAATAAACCACTGTTTCTCAAGCTCACGAACCAGCAATATGGAGAGAATGGCAAGGGTCTGCATTGCAGAGCTGTTGTCATTCATGATCTGTCAAAATTGGCCCTTCCCTGATTTGCAATAGAAAGACAATCACAGTGGACTATATTTGTGGCATTGCTGTAGTGATTCTGGGAGCAGAACTGAATATGCTGCACAATTTAATAAAATAAAATAAAATAATTATTTTGCGATGATCTGATTTTGAAACACCCTATTCATGCCTTTGATTATATTCTTTTTCTGATTGGGAAGAGAGGACAGGGAGGCTGCTGAAAAATCTGTCTCCTAGGAACAGCTGCAGAAAGTAACCAGGAAGCCTGGTCTGCAGACAAAGAAGCTGTTAGCCTGCTATTGTCTCCTGCTGATGAGTGAGTAAGGAAGGCCTTTTTCTGAAATGATCTCACAAGGATTCCTCCCTGCAGAGGCTCCCATTGGCTGGACTGTGGTTCCCCTCTTTGCCAGTTGACGTATGCAGAATCAAAATAGGCCCCTTTATCGCCATCTACTGCACAGATAGCTCTTTGCTTTACTGAAATCTGTGGCTTGCTATTCAGACACAGCATTTCTCAAAGCTCACCAAAAAGGCCAGTCTACTGTAATGCTGGGGTGGGAAATGGCTCCAGGCAGAAGCTCCCAGATTGTGGCTCCCCATTTGTGGAATTCTCTCCCCAGTGAGGTCCACTTGGCACCATCGCTGACATCTTTTCAGTGCTAGGTTTGTTTGCTTTTTAGTAGATTACAGAGATGTGATATTGTTTTTAACATTAGTGACCATGTGATGATTTTAGCTTATGAATTTTGGATTTGAAGAGGAAGAGTTTGGATTTGATATCCCGCCTTTCACTCCCTTTAAGGAGTCTCAAAGCGGCTAACATTCTCCTTTCCCTTCCTCCCCCACAACAAACACTCTGTGAGGTGAGTGAGGCTGAGAGACTTCAGAGAAGTGTGACTGGCCCAAGGTCACCCAGCTGCTGCATGTGGAGGAGCGGGGAAGCGAACCCGGTTCCCCAGATTACGAGACTACCGCTCTTAACCACTGCACCACACTGGCTCTAAACAATTTTATTGTTTAATGCACTGGCTCCCGGTGGAGTACAGGATCAGGTTTAAATTGTTTAATGTTTTTATTTGTACATTGGGGTACTTTTATAGCTCTGTTTAGTGTACATAATGTCTTAATAATATAAATGTTTTAAGTCTTTTTTATCAGTTCAGTATATTTTCTTTTAATTGTCAAATAATTCTGTGTACATTGCAGCAGCCTTTGGCTATGTGCAATAAAACTGACTGAGACTGAGACTGAGATTACAGAGATGGGGGTTTGTTGCTAGTTGTGCAGCCAAAGCATTTTCTTTGGAGACCTTTTTGTGTCATAAGCGACTAACATGTTGTAATAATATCAATTAATAATAATAATAATAATAATAAATTAAAAGTCTGCCATTTGCTCAAGGACTTGACCCCGTTATCTCTAAACCTACCAATCTGCACAGCAACCCTTCCTTCCACACCATGTCCTATGCATTTGTTTGCACCATCAACAAGAACTGCCATATTGACCCAATTACACAGGGCTTTCTGTGCATCACTTTCCAAATGCTCAATATTACTCAGTGTGTTTCGCCTTTTCCTCTAGCCCTTTTCAGTTTTACGGCCCATGCTGCTCTCAATGAGCCACTGACCCGCTGTTAAGCATCGTCTCCACAATTTCCCCCGCAAGAGATGTTAAAAGCAATGGGGCCTCTATGAGTCAGAAGGGGAGCAGACTTTCCCAGCCATCCCTGTTGGGGCGATTCTATTGCATGCCTCCAGCCCATTGGCAAGTCTCCTGACCACCAAGAAGTGTTATATAAACCAAGGGAAATGCTTTAGGAATCCAGTGGGCAAATTTTGCAGCTTTCCAATTCCCATGCAGTAAAGTCTATAGTAGGCTCCCATCGCATGGGCTCCAAATCAGGCCTAGCATCTTTGAATAGCTGCTAGAACCCCAGGAGGGTCACTTGTGCAAAAAGGAAGACAAAAGAAGATGCACATTTCTATAAAAAAAGGCATGTGCTTATTTTTATACATAGATGCAAGTTTAGGAACAATGGCCCACATTGAATGCGGTGCTAAGTATCTGTCCCATCAGTACAATAATTTTTGCTTGTGCAATGGGACTTTCCTGCACTCTCTGCCTCCCTTCATGACCCGTCAACGTGTTCTGGAGGTCCCCCCCCCCGACCTTCCAGAGTAGATCTGGATCGGCGGTTTGAATCCCCGCGACGGGGTGAGCTCCCGTTGCTCAGCCCCAGCTCCTGCCAACCTAGCAGTTTGAAAGCACATCAAAGTGCAAGTAGATAAATAGGTACTGCTGTGGCGGGAAGGTAAGCGGCGTTTCCATGCGTTGCTCTGGTTCGCCAGAAGCGGCTTAGTCATGCTGGCCACATGACCCGGAAGCTGTACGCCGGCTCCCTCGGCCAATAAAGCAAGATGAGCGCTGCAACCCCAGAGTCAGCCATGACTGGACATAATGGTCAGGGGTCCCTTTACCTTTACCTGTGAAGGAACACATGTGCTTGTATATCAGGAATCTGGGTCTGGGAGAGTGGTGGGAAAACAACACAGATGAACTAAAGTGAACGAACAGCCCATGTTCCATTTCCAC